TTCCTCGTGGTGATGGGATTAAGAATACGGAGTGTCACCATCCCTATCCGCCCCTTGGATGTCGCAAGAGGCGGCTAAGGGAGCAAAGCAGGTACGCAAGACAAAAACAATGCAAAGAGAATGAAAACTTGAAACAAAACCCTATACTAACCCGTCTGGCCAGCGTAGTATAATCAAAACCTCCTTTCTAAGGAGGAGCCTATATCCAGCAATGGACTGTTGTGGGCTGTTGATGACGATAACAGCTGCCTTTTCTATGTGAGGTAAGAGATTCAGGCCTATGATGCTCCTTGGTAGGTGCCAGAAGACTCTTTTATCATAAAAAAGATAAATTATATGCTTTTTAGGGTTCCATACCTCAAAAGGTAAAAAAGGAACCCTTATAAGATCACTCTTGTCCGCCTGTCTATCCATGTGTCACCACCGATTTAGGTTGGATCTAGCAAGTTGAAATTTATACCAGATACTGAGGTCTATAGTCTACAAATTGACAATTCTAGGTCAACCGGAAGTACCCTTTTTTTTTTCCGTGCGGAAATCCCCTCGGATACCACCTGTCGGTGGCATGTCGGACTTGAACCGACTAAAACCGCACGCCGTCGCCGGGTACTAATAGCCGGGGAACCAGGTATACCCTAGAAAGGAAGTCCCTGGTGCCCCGATATACCTCGGGTCATCTACAGACGAGTAGACGACCCCCCAACCTTAAGTACCCTATAGGTTGTGGGTCAAAAACCTATATGGTAGTTCCCGTTGACCTAGAATCACGAAATTTGGCAAAAAGCAAGGTCTTACAGCACAAATAAAGGAAAAATTAAAAAAAAATGTTGAAAATAAATGGGTGTCCCCACACATACATACATAGTTGACGCCAATTAAAATAGGTCTCGCTCATGCAATTTAGAGGACTAGCTTAATTGGCACCAACCTCAAATAAGGTAAATAAATTTAAATGTGATAATGTGTGAAAGAAAATAAAAGAAAATATTAAATGGTAATGGTATAATGGATAGATGCGGAATCCTCGGCGCACGAGTTCGACTCGCATTTTACCGTTTTTTTTTTTTGTAAATACATACATCACATTATATTATACAATAAGATAACTCCCTAACACAGAATCAAATATTTGTAGATCATACAAACATTTAGTCCCAGGAATCGAACCCGAGAGCTAGCTATTGCCCACGGCACCGCTTGTGTATATGTCGGTTATCGCGGTAAAAAGTAGTTATAAAATTACTTTTTGCAACCTATTTACCTAAATAGTTCAAGTGACATTTATACAATGATATCAACTAAAATTGTATCAACTTTCTCTTACACAAAATAAACAAGTGACACCTACACAATAATGATAACAGGAAATAGTGCAGATAACAATACAACAATAGATGCGATAATGCCCTTTCACAATCACTTATTATAATGCGTTTTACTCATTCATGCGGGCGTTTGACGAAATTTGTTTCCGAAACGAGTATCACCAGTTTGATGAGCGTATTCGTCTACGTTTAGACTCAGGGTACGCGCATAAAGCCTCTTTGTTTAGAGTAAATTCGATTTTTATTTTACCCCATAACTTGTTTTATATGATCAAACAACTCTTCGGTTTGACGATGCTATGCTGCAGTCTAAACCTTCAGCATAAGGCTTTGTTACATCAGACTATTTTATCGTTATCATCTATACATACATATAAATAAATGCCTAAAAACCGGTGTTTTTTTATCTGTCTGTCTGTTTGTTCCTGGTAATCTTCAAAACAACTTTTGATAATATTTTACTACCAGGTAGCTGTCTATACATATAAGAAGTAACAGTAGCGCAAAATGTTATAGGGTTTTTCTCTCAGAATAACCCTACAACATTTGGCCCGGTCCGGGAATCGAATCCACTAAGGCAGCCCTTTTCAAATTCCACAGTTGTACATAAAGCTTTTGTTTAAGGATAGATGATTTAAAAAAGGATGATCATGGTAGAATACTTCGTAGTATTCTAGTCATATATAAAAATAAGTGTTTATTTTCCTTCGTATTTTATGTGACAGCGAAACGTTAATCCGATGATCATGTGGAGGACACATTTTAAAAAAAAGTGTCCTGGGTGGGAATCGAATCCACCAGCTTTAGTAGTAAGGCCGCTTACTATTAGTCCTACTAACTCGTCAGTACTATATATGATAATTATTTAATAATTCACAACTCATTAGCAGGAAGGACGAAGTCGCCGCGTGGTGCGCATGTGATGATAATTAATTATAAATTGATTTTTTTTTTGTTTTTATAAACTTCTGAGAACAACCTACTAGTGTAACAAGGGTTATACCACGTCCACGTCAGATATACAGCAGTTTGCAGCAACTTAATCCCCAATATATCTTGTTAATCATTTCCGAGAAACAAGGCCAGATTATACTCGTACTCGACAATGGTGAAAATCAAGCGCTATCAACACCTATACCTCTTTTGAAATGGTTATCCTTTGCACATACAGAAAAACAAACCCTATCCTAGTAGAACACTGATCAATATCGATTTCCTGTAATTTGCTAAGTCGTCTCCTACTTGTAACTTTAATTCGAGATGTTATGTTCTCCTTCAAGAGCGAGCCGCGATTTAATAGAGAGAGAGATCTGCTTATAGAGTACTTTACCTACTGTTATTTTTTGATTGTCGCCTCTTTTTATAGTATTGCTTAGTTCACGTTTCAGTTTTGTGTTTCGCTTGGTTTTCTGCACTGAATCGCGATTTTCATATTAATACGTTAAATGTATCATCATCTTCCTGCCATATTCTTAATATTATTGGTTTCGGAACAATGTGTAACATTGCAAAGGATTTAGCCGGTTACTATAATGACCGGCTGGATTCTTGGAATCGCCAATCCTCATTAGGAGTTAAGACGGGACAAAGGTAGAAGATTTATTAAAAAAAAGGCAAGCTTGGTATGAAAACGGAATTGAAACTGTAGCAGCTCGAAAATTATGGGGTTCCGATTGCCCGTCCTGTGATTAGAGATAGTATTAAAAAAAAAGATAAAGACATAAGCTAGTCAACGCATATGAAGGCCCAAGAAAACAAAGTGTTTTACTTCAAATATGTGACATTATTAAGTCGATGTTTTTATAGGTTACTTGAGTCACTGCTGTGATTGATTAGCCCTTTCTATATAAAATGTCTTAACTCAAACAATAAATGTCAATAAATGGGGTTAATGAGGACTTTGGAGAAATAAGTTTTAGATTGTTATAGGCGTACACGTAACCGCGATAATTTATGTTCTCAACTCATTTATAAAGTTATATAAGTAATGTTTGTAAAGTTTAATACCATCGTTACGAAAATAGGTATTTAAAGTTTGTTTTTAAGCCTATACATAATTCATACTAAGTTCATGCCGTAAATAACAGATGGAACAGTTAAGTATGGAAAATTCAAAATAAATTTGGTTTACATCACAAGTCAAAACTTTAATACTAATATTCTAATCCTTTTTACTTATCAGAACTAGACTTATCAGAAGTTCTCTTCATTTTCAGTCGCGGGTTATAATTACTGTCGTATCGTGAAGCTCCTTAGCTTCATCAAGAATTGGGTTATCAAAATCCAGAGATTAGCTCGTTTAACTGATGAAAAAATCTTCACGTTTAATGTTACTATAGATAAAGGGTATGCTTTTATCAGATATGTGTTAGGTGTGTATGTGTAGCTCAAACTACAGGTGGTCACAGGTCTTATTCTGACGCCTTCTTGTCTAAAGCAGGGCCAAAGTTCGAGGAAGTGTTTTATCAATGGCATTTCAATACAACCCTTACCACTTGATGGTTGATTGCTAGATTTGCTGAAGATCATTTCGGACCATTTATGGAACGTTTGAACTGTAATACATCCTAGTATTATTTATCTTCTTTACGTATAATTAGAGCGGTTTCGCACTACGTCCGATCCGAATCCGATCCGAACCCGTGTAAACACTGATCTAGAAAACTCGGGCTTCACTCGGATATTGCTTTTCGCACTACCTCCGATTTCTGCTCCGTGATTACGGATTTGCCAAATCTTCCAAGGCTGACTGACTGATTGAATTCGTGTATTGTCTATGCACTATTGCGACCTCTGATCCTAATCCAGATAATTTAGTGGTCACTGTTTAGCATACGTCATTTTACGACGAGCAACAGCAGAGCGTTCACGTCGTTGATCATGAGTCCTTTCGAGCGGCCTTTACTTCTGGCAATGCTATTATACGTACGAACAGAGAGGAATTAAATAATTCTGGGTGCGTTCATACAAATAATAGTATGGCTTCTTTGGTCCGTCAAAATTCTTCTCCGGAATCTAGATTCGCGAATAACAGAAAGAAATCGGATGACGGTAGTCGGATGTAGTGCGTAAACTACCATAGAAATGGTTTGAGGACTACTTTGAACCGTATTTTTACGGGCTCTAGTAGATCTATAGTATAACTATTACTACCAATATGATGAGCAAGATGGAAAAGCGCTACATTATTTTCTGCTACATTATTTTGCTGCTACATTATTTTCTCGTGAATGTTGTGCTTGTTTGAACAAAATTATTCATAGCAATCATTTCGAGATCTTTCGCAACTTGATTCATGTTAACACCACTTCCAATTCGACTAATGTAAAAGTAAAGCAGTAAATTTAGATACATATATAAGTATGCACCTTTTCTATTCACACAGACTGGCTTACCTGTAATATAATTGTTTGTGAACTGTTACTATTTATAATGGGGCCAGAATAATTGAGTTAAATTGTCATTTATGAAAGATTTTACCAGTAGATTAATACTGCTTTGATATCTATAGCTTCTCAAGACGATGTTATTAAAGTATGTGTCTGCTTTGAAAATATCAATACCTCTTCATTGATAACTAAAATTTAGTACATTATTTCCTACTTGGTACGTACGTGATGGTTTGTAAATGATTGATAAGATTGTGAGTTGAAACAGCTGTTCTTTGTCCATCAGGTACAGAAAAAGAAAAGGGGCAGCTTGGCGTGGGCAAATCTTGTTTGTGCAACAGATTTGTGCGCATGCACGCCGATGACTACAACGTGGACCACATTTGCGTGCTGAGTCAGGTAAGAGTGAGATAAAAAATATTTATATGAATAATATAAATATTTTTTATCTCATATATATATTTTTAAATAGATAGGGTAGACATAAAATCTACCCGATTGGAGTATACTTTTATGGCACCATTTTTTTCAGTACCAAAGCTATTCCACTTACAGCACCAATAGATACTGGCTCAATGATCAATGTGGAACAAAAACAACATTTAATTTTGTTCCTCATTCAGCAACTATGGCAGTTTCTAGTGATAGGAAAATTTGATGTTAACCACCACCTATTGGTGCTGTAAGTAGAATAGCTTAGGTACTGAAGAAACTGGTGCCAAAAGAGGAATACTCACCCAAGCCTGCTTTTGGTAGGGTTCACGAAAAGCTTCGATAGAGAGCATCTTAGGGCATATTGCAAAACCTACAGAACCTTTGTATTTGAGTCAAATAAATGAGCCTGTAATACAGATACCAAGCCATACTATGAAAAAGCCATGCTGTTAACAAATGAGGCGGCTCGACCGAAGTAAATATCGAGGCATCACAGAAAACCACTGTTACTCAATTCTTTCGTTGCTTTTAACTGATCGGATAGATTACCAGAGCACTGACCTCCTCCTCCCCTCATAGGGTGTGGATTGAAGGTTGAGTCTGGGGTAAAAGTTCTTAAGGGGCGGCAACACACATGTGTCTCTTGACTTACAGGTGTTCACTTACCATCAGGTGACACGCCTACATGTTTTCCCCTAAACTATAAAAAAAACTAACGTATATGAATTAATTAGGGTAGTTACGTGTAAAAAATATATCTCAGTTATCGTTAAAGTACGTTCATGACATCGTGCACTGTGGCTGTTTCAGCTCGTGAATTAATCTAAAGGGCGTTGTTAATTAATCTCAAGTGGGTTACTCATACATGTTTTTAAAACAGTTGCGTCAAAACAAAACGTGAAACCATTTAGGGAGGCATGTTTATTGCTGAAGACGTGTTGTTTGCATCTACATGTTGTGTCAACAGTCAGTCACTCGGTTGACATAGAACAGTACATCATCACTCATCCATCACAGTCATTAGCATACAATGGCTGCAAATGGCACATTATTTAATTAAATTCTACCACACTCGTATGCAGAGTTAGATAGAATTATATCGCTTTTACTAATTTACGCAAATATTTGCACACATACCGCATTGGTGTGTACGTATAGGCCATGTAGTAAAAAAATAACTAATTGATATTTTTATAAATCTTATTGTTACATATTTTTGCATTTCTTTGAGATTTCTAATCTTACCAAAATCGAGTCAGTAGTCGCAGACTATTAGTCGCATATCTTGATGCATAACGGCATTTCTAAACCACTTCACTAAGATCCACTTACAAATAAGTAAGCTACTTGTGATCGCATATTTGTTACAAACTTTGGTTTCACTGATCACATACGAACATAACAGGAATAGCTCTTAGGGTCGCGATCGGCGAATACATCTTCAGCATCATCATCGCATCGTGTAAGGTCCTTAATTAAGGAAACGCATTTTAAGCTATATTTTTTGCATCTCAGCGTTACTCTCGGATACATGTTAAACCTTTATTGCGTTCGTTTTGTGCATATTTTTCACGCGAAACCACATGGAGCGGATAGTCTCTGAATACAACCACGAAGCTTGCTGTACATTAATTACATTTTGTATTCTTTAAGCCAGTCCCTTAACACCATGCTAATAAAGAGACTTCAGCTTGCGCTCACCTAATATATTTAAATCTTATGCACCTTTCTATTTCTAAAGACTTGGATACCTTGGGGATGACATGAAATTTCAATATTTTCTAAGTCATTAATCATTTTCGACAATAATTCTAAGTATTTTTTGTGTCTGTTAAGATTAGAATGATATGGGGATAATTTATCAATGTGTAAAATCTTTCAGCTGAGCTCAAAGATGAAATAGGAAACGTTTGATATTTTTACTTACTTCACAATCTTCTTTTCAGTCTGACTTCAGCGGACGAGTGGTGAACAACGACCATTTTTTGTACTGGGGCAGCGTGCAGAAGGAGAATGATGAGCAGGAGTACAGGTTCGAGCTCGTCGAGCAGACTGAGTTTGTGGACGATGCGTGCTTCCAGCCGTTTAAAGGTAATTGTATCATTTTTTTATAAAAACCTCGTACCCTGATTCCCTTGATGGATGTTCTTGGGTCCAGAACGCCTAATTCAGGATCACTAACAATCATAAGCAACCAAATCCACCTGTTGTACAGCAAACCAGATAATGAAATGTAATGTGACGTGCAAACAAAACGTCCAATTCTACTTCTTGCACTAAATTTTTCATAAATTCATCGAAACCTGACATTTATAACAATTATGATATCTTTAAACTAAAGATACAAACATACAAATATACATACACATAATATATATAATATAAAAATAATTGTCCTGGAACCGAATTATCTGAAAGAAATATGTGGATTAGGCAGATTTAGACAACCATAATTTTGTTTTTATGCGTGCAATGTAGGCGATACCGGTAGACAATAGTTTTTCATTTAGTTTGAGGAAAAAGTATAAGAATTTTTTGCTTTCCCTTACGTAAAAAAATATGTTATTTTATATCAACCGATGAGAAGGAAAAGTATTATTATTTATACGGATCAAATCGCGAGTGTAAATAATAAATAGCTCTCTCTCTCTTGGTACCTACTGGCTTTTACCGGAAACTAAATATTTACCTAAACTTTTTCATGCAACAATCTAAGTAGACTTTATTAGTTGTAACATGAAAATAAAACGAAGTAAAACCCATTTGAGTGTATTTAATATAAATTGCATTTATCGCAAGCTTGAGTTGACACATTCCTCACGTATATCATAGTAATATTCTGGGTAATAGACGCTTTATCATAATTTAGTCCTAATCCGTGGTTATAAAAGTGATTTATTCTAAGTACATAAAAAAATACATTACACTTTTTCTACAATATAAAACATCGGCTGTGTAAACCAGGTTAAGTATAAGTAGTGGTCTCTTTCTGTGAAGCTGTGATGCTTCAGAAAGGGATTACTATTGGAAAGCTACATAGTCACTGAGTAACATAGGCTACTTTTTACCACGATAACCGACATACACGCGGACGGAGCCGCGGGCAAGCGCTAGTGTGTAACAACACAGCCCAAACAGACTCGACCGGAGTTATACCGCATCCTTACAGAAAACCGGTCAGTATGTCCCCCCCGAGCTGCTTAAGTTCTGGGGGATATACTGATGGGGATGAAGTGTCCATGAGCGGTGTGGGGTGTGTGTGAACCGTCTGCTTATTTACATCCGTATACAATAATATGTCGCATCCGGATCTTGTCTACGGAAGATCAACGACACATAAACGTCAGGGTGACGTATACAGAGCCTAAGAGAAAAATCATTTAATAACCTACGAAGAGTTTATTTCTCCCCGGATCCCTGCTGATGCCCACAATGAGTGACCATGAGAATAACGGTAATAACGGTTCTCCGATAAATATTTATGTAGTTTTTCTAAAGTCTTTGTGTACTACAAATAGAAAATGCTACGATATTCAAGTTATAGCTATGCGAACCCGACCTGCTCGAGTTATTTACGTATTAGCGATTAAATTAGTATAAACAATAGTGTGGAGGCACAGGTTTTATATTCCTCCAATACAAGGATACTTCGATTAAATTTTGTATGTATTTGTAGTTTTTACAACATTTTTACACAATATTTGACAACTGATGAAGCCACGAGGTGGAAACAAAACTTTATACTTTAAAAACTAGTGACTCTCCTAGTATGGGTTTGATTCGTTTTGAAGAGTTCTACATATTCGACAGTGTATCTTTCTCCTGGCAAACTTCAACACATCGTCATCACCAAGCAAAGGAGCTGTTTAATTTTTGTTTGACCACTTAATAAGTAATAATTATGTTGTGAAGGTACCAGAGGGCCTGGTGTAAGTTTATTTCACTTCAACCCGATAGTGACTGTGACTGCGTTTGATGAAAATAAAATCATATTAGGCTCCCAGAACCCAATGGTTAATATATTAAATGACAACATCAAATAGAAGTAGACACTTTATGTCCGGAAAATTTATGAATTAATATGGGTATATTTACATTTTTCTAGTTGGCAAGACTGAAGCTTACATAAAGAGATGTGTGGCTACGAAGTTGCAGTCAGCTGAAAAGTTGATGTACGTTTGCAAGAATCAGCTGGGTATTGAGAAGGAGTATGAGCAGAGGCTGATGCCTGATGGCAAGCTCACCGTGGATGGCTTCCTATGTGTGTATGACGTCAGTCTCGTACCTGGAAGGACTTGGGAGAAGCAGGTGGGTCACCATGTTAACATCCTTTATTGTTTATTCTTCCAAGAAATAAATAAAATTCATTTGTAATTGCTAGATTTCTTGGTCTAGAATCTCTTGCCGAGGGACGCTCTCCCTCAAAAGTTTCATCACAATCTGATCAATGGTTTCGGAACACATAGAGGACAAACACATAAATTTTTATTTATTAGGACAATAATTAAACAATTTTTTTCTTCAGATCAAATCACATTATTATTTAAAGTATTTAGTAGTGGGCACTAGTAGCTTAGTGTTATAAATCAAAGTCGACAGTTTTGCCTATAGTTTTGCTTTATCTGTACAGCCAAATTGCCACACTACTAAATACATAAACATTCACTTTGGTATACTTTCTTTGTTGCAGAATGAAGTCCTTGCAGCAATCCTCCAAAACATCCTCAAACTCAAAAAGCCAGTTGTTCTCGTCACGTCCAAAAATGACGAGGCTTGCGAGCAAGGCGTTCGGGAAGCTGAACGCTTAGTTCAGCGTAAGGAGTTCAAAGGGTCTATCCCTATAGTCGAAACGTCCAGCCATGATAATGTGAATGTGGACCAGGCTTTCTTCTTGTTAGCACAGATGTGCGACAAGTCGAAGGCTAGGATTAAGGTATGTAAAAAAATAAAATAAACAGTTTTTCGTTTAAAAGACAACGACATACGATATATAGCGATGCTCTAGCGGGAGCTTTAGGAATATATCCTGTGTCGCGGGGTCTTTACAAATATTCATGAAACGGGCACAAAGAACATCCATACTCAGAACAATCGTTTGTGGATCACACAAAATGTTGGCCCATGTGGGGATCGAGCTCATAACACTCAGCGCAGTAGGAAGCGGCGAGGTGACCGCTTAAACCACTACGTCATCCGTGCAGTCAAGAGCAAACAGTTGCATTATAGTTACATCAGCCCAATATTAAAAAGACATCTGCTCTTTTTATCTACATTTGACAAATTATTTATGAACTAAGTCAAATGGATCTCATTTTATCGGTTTGATGGTAAGAGTTAGCGTGTGTAGTTATCTTTTCCTGACAACTATCCTAAACAAATATTCACAGTTAGCTAGAAAAGAATGGAAAGCAAAGTGCTTGCTGTTTGCAGTCACTATCAACCGAACATCAGATTTATAGATATTGAACCGCTGCGGAACTGTCCAATTTTTTGGACAATAATTTAGAAGTGGCTTTCCGCGATTGCGGTCTCTTCTAGTTACTGCTCCTCGAGTTATGTCTGTCATTCAAGACTTGCGGTATTCTGCACTTTTCCTTTGTTTACCTTCGTGCTTTGTCTCAATCGGAAACTCTAGACGGGTTGGCATTAAGCAGGCAACCGGCTATAAAAGTCCATCCTAAGGCACCAGCTTTCTTCTCCATCTATTGTTAGACAAAGACATTATTTCCAAAAAAACTGTTACATTATATAGATGTTTTGTAGTAGGTAAAGTTTCAACAGGCTCCCAATCGGTCATTGTAATTGTAAAGTACACTATAAATAAAAATGGAATAGATAAATTCATTTCAATTCTGCATATAGCCTGGCATTTGCTGTATTATATTTATTTCGATTAGAGTTTTCTTAGTTTCTTACTTCTCGGTAGCAGCAGACGGGTTCGGCAGTAAATGTCTCGGGCTGACATGATGCTGAAGCCGACAAAGTAAATAAATCTTTTTTATTTTATTTTAGGTAGCTAATTACGCGGAGGCGTTACGAATAAGAAGGGAGACATTGGACTTCGTGACTGAAGCCTTCACGCAGCTTATCAGAGTGCACGTACAGGATCATAAGTGAGTTTAAATGACGTACTGTTTATACTTTAGCTTTCCACATACTATTAACATATTCTCATGTTCGAAGGGAATACAGGCTGTAGTTCAATCTGCCCCGCGGCTTACCAAAAATTAAGTTATTTTTGCTGCAGTTGCAAATATTTATTACAATGGTGACTGATATTTCATGGTTAGGTGAGGTTCGTGACGCGGGTATTCGTTTGCCACGTTAGTTATATAAATACTGGAAATTCTTTTTTTTAAATACCTACATATATTAGCGTATAGACTATGTTATTTTGTATGGAGTTGCTTTGTGTACAAAGTTTTTTAATTTGCGCTGTTGGTTTTTAAAATGATTTTTTTATTTACAGGGAAATGTGGTCGGCAGCTAGCAAGAGGTTGTGTAATTATCCAGAGTGGATTAAGTTTGTTCAGCAGTTTGGAAATGATGGGACTCAGGTATTTTATTGATTACATATTTATCACATGCTTGTAAAAGTGCAAGTTTTCGGGGATAGCCCTCTTATCGAAATCTCATTGATTGGGAACGTTTAGTGTTGAAAAAGTTTTTTTTTTTAAATTTACTGTTATATAGTTTATTTCGAAATTTAAAAAAAGTAGTAAACATTAAAAATCAAATGATAATAAAAATATATTAAACATAATGGACAAATGTGTTTATGATACTGAATATTTAGCAGTATAAATGGAATTTTAAGTTTTATTAGATCCGAATATATAAAATCATTATTGTTACGTGTTTTGTAATAAGTAATAGTTTAAAATGCACACATGCATTTCTATAGTCTACATAATGTATGACGGTAGGTGGTATTTCGACGTCACATCCGAAGACTGAAAGAGGAGCGATCAGCCAAGAAACTACGTAAGCAGCTCGCTAAATTACCACAGATTCTGTCCAGAATGCAGCTGCCCACTGAAGATTTGCAGGAGAGGTGAGTACATGAAGCTTTATGTTTAATTATATATTCTGTTTTCTTTTTTATTAAACCAACCAAACAAAAACACAAAATATGTAAAATATTGCCAGTGGCCCCACACTAGGCAAGCCTGTCCTGTGGGTGCCAATTGCGATTAGACATTATCGGAATATTCTCCTTTTTATTTTTAAGTTTAGACAGTAATACTTTTCTTCTAAATATTTGAGCACCAAATTTTTAAATATTTTAGCACCAAAAAAAAATTACTATTCAAATATGCAGCAGTTAATGACCTAGACGATTTCTGTTTTAGTTATTACAGTATTTTATGTAAACCATTTATATTAAAAATGACATTTTCTTTTAGTGACTGGTCGATGGTAGTCCGTCAGCTCCGCACGCACCGTGACTTCTCGGTGTACTTCAGCGAGGGTCGGGCGCAGGACTCGGGCTCGGAGTCAGGTTCCGACCTGGATAGCCCGCTAGCCATGGACACCACGTTGAGAGTTGGCGAGCGGGCCAGGTACCAGGTAAATATCTCTCTTGTTGTGTTTTGTCTATCAATCATTATTGTTTTTTAGGCCATTACCTATATCAGTTGATTTTCCATTTGTACTTTAAGATTTACTGTTTAAGATAACTAAAATAGTTTTTTCTTTGAGAGCATTGTTGTGCATTTTTATTTTAACATTAAAATTATATCATTATACATACAATGTTAAAATTGTACAAACAACTATATTTAACTGGTCAATGAAATAAGACATAATAATGAATTTGACTCTTGAACTAATATTGAACCTAATATTCTGTTTTTTCTTTCAGACATTGGGACAGTCACAGAAGATTCCATACGAAATTCTGGAGTCAAACGAGGCGGCGAGTGTATTCAAAACATTCTTACACGAAGCACAAGAAGAGCATAGAAATTACGAGTAAGTTGTAACATTACTACACGGAATGGTGTGTTACCAACGCAACACGCTACTGAATCGTCTGATTTTTATAGGGCTCTTTAGACCATAAGTTAATGAGTGAAATGAAAATCTCAAATATTTTTCTGACAACTGTGAAGCTACACTATTTCTCTCTCTTTCTCTCTCTCTCTTTATTTCTCTCCCGTACTCTCTTATTACTGTGTAAACTGTAATCATTTAAATTATAAAAATTGCTGTTAGCACTTGTAGAAAAATTCCTTAAAAAAAATTCCTAAAAAAAATTACAAAATAAATAAATAAAAAAAGACAACATACCATCTTACCGTGGGCGCCGATAGTCAATTACCATCAGGTGACCCACCAGGCTCGTTTTCACCCTACGTTGAAATTTCTAAGATAAATTACAATCTAAATTACTTTTTATCGCAGATGGTGCCAACAATTCAAACGTTTATTAGAAGAGACCGGTTATGTGACACCTGGGAAGCAATTGTCTGAAGTCCGAGTACTTCTCATGGGTCGGGAATGCTACGAGGCCTTGTCTGAGGAACAGCAGCAGAGGGTCTACGATCAACACCAGAGGCAAATACAGAGACGCGCCAAGGACAATTTTCAGGTATCATCTACTACTACTACTACTACTACTACTACTATCATCGACATGTTTGAAGGTCTAAATATTTTTGGAATAACAAATAAGTGAACTAGCTGTTTTTTAGTTTCTTTTTTGTTAGTCACATTTTAGTTTGACTAGCCTTTGCCCGCGACTTCGTCCGCGTGGTAGTCGAAATCAGTTATCGTAGCGGATACAATTAATCAGGATTATAGGTATACTAGCTAATGCATTTATTTGAATTGAAAATGTTTGTTCAATTTGCAGAGAGGAAAAATAGCTTTACTTCTTATAAAGACAGAAACCTGGTAGTAAAATATTATCAAAATCGGTCCAGCTGTTTTGAAGATTACGCGGAACAAACAGACAGAAAAAAAATATTTAAGCTGGTTTTTAGGCATAGGTATCGTGCAAATTACCGTGTGAATATTTTATTCTTTGTATAGATTATTGTTTGTTTTTTCACACGCACTTATCTCTGGAACTATCCTTCAGATTTAAATAGTTATTACTGGATAGAGTATGCATTCAGGAAACTTATTAGGCTATTATTATTTAACATCACACTTTAAGCCTAGGAGCGAAGCAGTAACCATAAACAAGGAATGCCTGGTAACTAAGTAGCTATGTACATCGATGACAGAATGCATATAAGCACAGGTTTCATTTCTAACTTTACTTAATAAAGGTTGTTTTTTCTGTAGGAGCTGCTATTGGAACACGCAGATCTCTTCTACCACTTCAAGAGTATATCACCAACGGGTACAATCACGCAAGAAGACATCAAAGAAATCACTGACGTACTGCAAGATGACTTTAGGTGAGTAGTTGAATGGAAAAAACCAACCAGTATAACGGCCTAAGGGGTGGGACTTTGAACTTGTTGTGAAATGTTGAGTGCTCGAACCTAACTAACTACCGACGTAAAAACATTCTTAAATCTCCAAGTATTTATCATATTACCTAGAACACCGTAGATATCCGTGTGGTGACGGATTAAGAATACGGAGTGCCGCCACCCTTATTCATTCCCTGGGTATCGTAAGAGCCGACTAAGGGAGCAAACTACGCAGGACAACAGCACTGCAAAGAGAAGGAAAATTTGAAACAAACTATACCAACCCGCCTGGCCAGAGTGGTACTGTAGGCCAAAACCTCCTTTTCTAAGGAGAGGCCTTATGTCCAGCAGTGGACTACTAAAGGCAGTTGTTGATGATGATGAACTAAAACAATAGTCATATGTGGCTCCCGTTAGTATCATTCTTTAATTCGTTTCCTAGGTTTGTTATTTTTTAAATGAAGCAATTCGTTAATTTTAAAAAATTAGTAATGACAACACAATATTGTTATTTTGTGTACAGGTACAAAATGCTAGACCGCATGGAACAAGACAGGAAGCTGATGTTGTTTCAGCACTTGGGTTTCGTGCACTGTCCGATGCGCGAGCACTGTCCAGCTGGCTCTAATTGTTTAGACGCCACTTTACCTGTTATACTAAACACCAGAGTCGGGTAAGTTTTTTAATAAAGGTTTTATTTATACTACAAGCTTTTGCTCGCAACTCCGCCCGCGTGTATGTCGGTGATCGCGGTAAATAATGTCCTTCCTCAAGAAACAAACTACATACCAAATTTCACCTAAATCGGTTCAGCGGTTATTGATTCCGCATACAAACTTTAACCCCCGTTTTCATATCCTTAAAGGATGATTTCTGGAATAAAAACTATCTAATGTGATTTCCCAGGACTCTATTTCTATTCAAAATTTCATCTAAATTGGTTCATAGTTTAAGCGTGAAGAGGTAACAGACAGGTACACACTTTCGCAATTAAAAGATTGTCACTCTTTTGCGGAACAGTCACATTTCTTTTGAATTGTGTTTGAGCTGGTTAAGTAGATACCCCACTATAAATGAGTTTGTCAACCGAGATTTGTAGTGTTGAAGCCCAATGTAGTAAACGAAGCCAAGATATTTAATTAAGGATTGTTCGAGTACCTGTTTACGAATATATGCATAGGGGTAGGCAGAGTCGAAATAAATAGTTTGTGTCTGTGTAGACAAGACCGGAAAGCGATGGAAGGGTAGGGATATTGCTTATATAATCCATCCAGGATTAGAAATATAAATATATATGTATATTTCTAATTAGATATTTGATGGTGTGCAATTTCTTTTTTTATTAATGTATTATGTTCGATTAATATATTTTTAGGTTTCGTATACACAGGTTCTTCATTATAGTTATCTATTAATGGGTATTGAGGGACTTCAAATACATTTTTATTTATCTGGTGTTTTACTGGGAAGGTTTATAATAATAAACATTGAATACAACCGTTTGCTGGCATGTCCCAGGTCCCTGACGTCGACGGGCGAGTCGCAGTGCCACGGCGGGCCGCCCGCCGCCCCCTGGGCGCTCACTACGGACTCCAACTTGATCAACGTCATCATATTGGGGGTGAGTCACATTTTTATTGAAGACGGTTAATGACGTGTCGGGGTCCAAGGGACTCGGATCAACGAGGAATTAGTTTTAAGATTCCGACAAGTATTTGTTTAGCGTATGCGGTACATCTGTGGTGTTACCGGCAGATGGAGGGCGTGGCGGGCGAGTTCAGCAAGCGTCTGCTGGCGGGCTGCGACGCCGAGCGGCGCGTGGCCGTGGGCGCCGCCGCCTGGCGCCTCGACCTGCGCACGCGCACCGACGACTTCAGCTCAGAGAACACCAACATCGACGACTTCGCGCCCAACGGTACACTCTACACATTGCCACTTGATACTATCTAACTTATCTTTATTAGACGTTCATTTAGTTGCTACAAAAGTTAATTCAGAAAAGTAATCTCAGCACCCATCATTTTAATTTATTATAACAATTAAGTAACTTTGGTTTTAAACAAATAATAACAGACAGACTCTTTATTTTAGACTTATATATAAATATTTTGTAAGTTATTTTTTAGAATTTGTAATTTAAAATACTTTTTTCAGGCTATTTCTGTGTTTACCAAGACCAAGAATCTTTCGAATACATAAGAGCTTGTGCTGAAAAGACACTACTTTCAAGTCTCGAGCAAGAAGACAAGTTGCCGTTTCAGGTAATATATCTACCTTCATTAACAACTAAGTCCAACTAACTACCGAACGAGCTAATAGCTCCTTATTGGCTTAAAACATTATGCCGAACAGTTACCCAACTTTTTATTATTAACAGAAAATATTAAGACAGCATGTGACTTCCCATTGATTACCTATATTAAACTAACGCTGGCTTATTGAATAGAATATTTTCGAATAAAAGCAAGAAATTTTATTGCGGGTTGCAGGACCAGTTGTTTCATCGTAGTTTAGCTATTTTTCACTAGATGGCGTTCAAATATTTTTTACCATAATATGTGAATTGTCACTATAAGATTAAACTGTTTTCTCTGCCCTTTTTTTTAAGTTTTTCAATGATTTATATTATTTCATCCTTGTTTATAGGGATTACCTTTAGTGGTTATGTTCGTACAAGATGAGGGCATGGACAAGAAAGAATTAACGAGGCTACAGGAAGAAGGACAGAATCTGGCCGACAAGTTAGTACTAATTCTTTTTTATATTATTTTTCTTTGGTTTAGATATTATTTAATTATAAGGCTAGGTTTGTAGGGTTAAAAGGTTTTAATAAGTGCTTGAATATTAGAATAAGCAAGCGATATTAAATCTAGTTGCCTTACTAAATTTATCTTTTAATGTAATCTTTATTTTAATTTATTATATTTCTTTTAATTTATTAGTGTGTATGTTTATGACTGTGTCTTTCAGTTAATATTGAAGAAAAATAGTTAATTAAACATTGAATTATATTACAGCTTACACTGTTCGTACATGGAGGCGACAGTGAACGAACTGGGAACGGAAGCGTTGACAGCAGACGCTATACAAGAATTAGTGAGAGCCAACAGAGAGAAAGCTAGCTACGCGCACTTGTATAGAGACGTTATCGTGTGTTTTGATTCGGACATCAGGTGAGTGACGTTAAATTAAACAAAAATATATTTAAAAATATAATTTGACTATTATAGTAGTGTAGATAAACGAGTTCTTAGTTTTTGAAAGTTCTTTAACCAGGTGACCAGGTTGCCCGGTAGACCGAACCTATCGTAATCGTGGAATCATGCAGAGTTATTTTCTTTGGGCGATATAGGATCAATATTTACTAAACAATTTAGCTAGTGTTCAACCAATCTTTCGGCTTCAAATTCGGCCAAATTGGGCCGAAGCCTATGGCTTCTAGCAAGAACGATACATTAGAATATACGAAAGTGAGAGAACGCGGGTGCAGGTAGGTACAATAAAATATTGAAAAGAAAAATAAAACAAAGAATGTGTGACATCAAAAAACAAAGGAACTGTTATGTTTACAATATTTTTTTGGTTACTTGCTTCTATGTTTGTATACTCTATTGTTTATGGCACAATATTATAGTTAAATATCATTAATTATAAGATATTCTGATGATTAAATTAGTTTTAAGTATATGATAGTTATAAACAATAATTATTTTAAGATCGCATTAAGGTAATTACAATTCAAATTGTTAAATTAACACAGTCCATATAACTTTTACCAGTTTAGACAAAGGCTTGTTAATCAACTTCTGCCCAAAAATTGACCTTCGATTAGACACTATTATTTTGTATTTGTTTCAGGATAATGGTGTGTATGTTTTGCGACGATCCATATTCTCCAGAACGTGTACTGAGCCCTCTGCTGCTACACCGAGCATGTTTCCTGACCGGTGACCGGTCGATCGTTATCGAGACCTTCCTCGGTGACTCCAAGAGAAAAGTGGAGGTGAGTATTTAATAAATAGGTATTAAATTAACGGATTAAACATGTTTATTAACAATATATGGGTTTACGGGTGGTATTTCGGGGATACTCGACTGTCTTAAATTGACTACTATGTACTATGACCATTTTCTGGAAAATGTGGAATAGTTATCACAGCTGGGTGTAGGTGTTGTTGAAAAATCAATAATGTTCACATAACAACAGTCAATTGAAATCATTTACTAACCCTAATGTAAGGTGTATTCATTTTACAATTCAAATATTTAATGGTTTATTTTGACAGGTAATAATATCAAGTTTCCATGGCGCGACTCAGTTTAGGGAGGAACTCATCCACGGCTTTATACTCATATACTCAGCAAAAAGAAAAGCCAGTTTAGCTACCCTGAAGTAAGTTTTCCAAAACTATAAATATGTACTTAATTATAAAGAAGTCGTTACACCGCTACAATTCCGTTTCAACCTTATATATTTTTTGATAAGTAGGCCTTGGTATTGTGTACTTTGAAACTTCAGTTGGATTTAAAAACAAACAAATATTTTTAAAAATCAAGACACTAGAACAATAGAGGAGACCTTGGTTCAACAGTGGACTGCGAGAGAATAGAGATGATACCTCCCCTGATAACCTAAGTAAAAGATCATAAGATTCACATAATAGGGTAGATAGTTAGATAAATAATTTCGTCTGCATCATTAAGTGTAACATCTTAAAGTAGAGCCTGAATTGTCCTCCATTTTCAATTTAATGTTGATATGTTATCAACATTAAAATTTAATGCTGATATCAAATCAATAAAAATATATGTACTGTCGTATCTACCTATTGTCTAATCATTTATATTAAATACTAGCTGAGACCCGCGGTGTGACCCGCGTTTGTTGTTAGCTAGTCTAAAAAAAGTAGCCTAAGTTACTCCTTATGTCATCAGCTATCTGCCAGTGAAAGTCCCGTCGAAATCGGTCCAGCCGTTCCAGAGATTACCCGGAACAAACAGACAGACAGACAAAAATTGAAAAAAAAATGATATTTTGGCATATGTACCGTGTAAACATACATATGCAATTAGTAAAAAGCGTTTATTTTAATATTACAAACAGACACTCCAATTTTATTTATTTGTATAGAAGATAATTTTTTTGACAATAGCCAGGTATGACGTAACAAAATAGTATTTCATACTAAAATGTACCGCGTCTATCGTTTTGACGTACGAGTATAAAATAACATACTGATTTGACTTCACAGTCATCTAACCTATTATATTAGGGAATGGGTCAGTAGCGATATTATAGACCCTATCCCTAACATAGATCAGTTTGGGGTATCCTGTAGGTATCTTCTACGGAATATTTCCTTTCTTAATTACTTCAAAAAAAGGAGATGCTTCTTGATTAGGTTGTATCTTTTTATGTTTGTTACCTTTATCGAATCCAAATGAAAAATATAATTTCTTTGAAATATATACTACTTCTCGTCTGTGTCTTAATCAAATTCGAAGTTTTTTTTAATTCGTCATGATGTTGGCATTAAAGTCGGTGATAGATAGAAGGAAAACATTTTATTTTTGTGCTCATACATAATACTTCTTAACACGCTACACACACAATTCTATGATTACCAGATAACACAATTTTTTTGTCTTATGTAGGAACCAAATCCCCGCAGAATAAGTTACTACCGTAACCATTGCGAAATTATGTTTTTGTTATATGTAAATTATTGTTGTTCCACGACAGTGCTTTCTCGATGAACATCCCTAACCTGCCGATCCAAATGGTGGCGGTGACGGACGGGGGCGGTTCGGCTGCGAGCACGTTCTTCGGCACCGACCTCGGCCACGCGCTCATCACGGAGGGGAACGCCACGGCCGACCGCCTCGGCGCTCACTTCACCACTTACACTTCCAGTGCTGAGAATAAATGTAAGTATTCGTATTAAAGCGTCCTTTATAATGAGTGACGAGCCTGTCGGTCTAATGGGTTTGATTTCTACCTAGAACAAATTATTGTATGATGAGCACGATCATTTGTTCTGTATCTGGGTATAATTTATATATGACATGTATGTATTTTGAAATGTATAGGTATGTTTAGCAGCAGTATGGTCTCTGTAGTATAGGCTCTGCCTAGTTTGAGATCAGACGGACGCATGTAAAGTATAATGATATTAAATCATTATCATCCCCTTAGGTATACCACCACCGTTATTCCTCTTTCATTGGAATTGTCGAGTTAGCTTGTAGAGTAATGGGTGTGTTTCCCCCAGCCGCGTTCTACACGCCGTTCTTCAAGGAGGTGTGGGAGCGCAAGGGCGAGATCGAGCGCGCCTTCCGCATGGAGCAGCCGCACAACCTGCCCGACGTGGCCGCCGCCCGTCCCGCCCCCCCGCCCCGCAACCACTCCTACCACCTCAACCACATGTGAGTGACACACACCACCCTATTTAGGTGATATGGCGACTTCCACATACAGTGAAGTAAAAAAAAAAACACTTCAGTGCCATTTAACTAAGACAAACCGAACTACGTAGCAACTGCTTATCCTGTATCGTGATATCAAAGTTCAACCGTGGGGCTGCGCCCCGCCAATCACGATCACCTCACCGTTCTTCCACGCCAGAATGATTAGCTGAGAACTCTAACTAAATTGTTAAAAAAAAGAAAAGATCATTTGTGATAAACAACTATTTTCCAATCGATGTTCTCAATCGACCATAATCGTTATTGAAAATTTTAAAGCAAAATCCTTTTTTTATGAATTTTCTTCTAACCTTTTCTTTTTCACTTTTCTACATTCAACAATGTATGAAAGTTAATATTGAAAATTGGAAAAGTAAATGTGAATTGTAAATCTGTAACTTTCAGTTTTTCTCGTAACCGAAGGTAGCAATAAAAATATCATTAAGGAAAACATTTTCTAACAGTCAATCTATAGTTTATTTTTATTCTTACTAGTGATTTTAATATTCATATATTGCAATACTTTGATCATAATTATCCTTTCTTCTTATCAGGAGAGAACACAAATTGACCAACTCACTCGACCTTCTGATCGGGCCGGACTCGAGAGCTGACATCGACTCCGAATACAGTGACACATTGAATAATTCCAAGAATAGAGGCTTCTTGAAAGGTAATCTAAACCTATTTAATGTTATACAAAAAAATTTGTTACTTAGTGCCAGATGTGTTAAAAAACATGAACGTATTGTCAGCTATCTAACGAGATATAATAGTCTAGGATAGTATCAGAATTCATAGAAATAAAGGGACGAAAGACCAGGAGTATTAAGAATTTGCGTACAACCTGGTTAGTGCCTAGTTAGAAACTTGGCTTGGACTGTTTCCTTTTCTATTCGTGACTAACTATTATTGTTGCACGACAGTAGTTAACTTTGATTTGTGCTTCTGATACTGTTGAAGATAATGACATATACAATACTGATAACACATTCGCTCAAAATTCTTCTTTTTATTGCTTTAGCTGATAAAAACTCATGTAAAACAGAAAACAACTCGTAAATCGGGATTGTTAATATAAAGTGTTTTATTAAAGGAGACCAACCGGTCTGGCCAGCGTGGTATAGTAGGCCAAAACCTCCTTTCTAAGGAGAGGTCCATATCCAGGTGTGGACTATTTAAGGCTGTTGTTGTTGTTGATTAAAGGAGGTTTTGGCCTACTATACCACGCTGGTCAGACGGGTTGGTATAGGATTTGTATTAAGTTTTCCTTCTCTTTGAAGTGCTGCTGTCCTGCATATTTTCTTCCCTTAGTCAGCTCTTACGATACCCACGGGATGAATAGGGGTGAGACTCCGTATTCTGAATCCGTCACCACACGGATAGTAATATCATTAAAACAGTTTGGGATCAGACAGCCTTGTGTAAGATGTGTCAAATTGTAATGTTAATTATATTATACATGTTATTTATAGGTTTTAGTGTATACCCTCCACCCAGTACACCGCCAGAGCCAGCACCACCAGACCATCGGATGCACCCAGATCTATCACGTAAGTTATTTTATTCTAAACTATTATTAAAAACGGCCGATTCACGTTCTCTCCAATAAATGCTATCCCGAGATAAATTTCTGTTGCCTGGCGGTAAATGAGGTAGTATACGTTTTTTTTGTCACTTTGTCAGAATAAACTGTAATCCCGAAAAAGTGTAATGAAACTATATAATATGGTTTCAGGATATATTTTTGGGGCCCGCAGTAGTAATAATAGTAATTACTGCCACGTAAAATGATATAAGAAATAAATGTAAAATTTTAGTAATATCAAAGAATATCAAGTTTATATAAATTGATCATTTAGGTATTTTGAATGGGAAGCGTGATTTTTAAAATCAATTATTTCGCAGTATTCACAACATTAAGTCTTATTTGAGTGCGTTATTATATTTTTTAAATAAAAATTTGGTTTTGATTATCTGTACCTTAAAAATTAAAAGAGAATGACTATTGAACTTAGACATCAAAATTGTTATTGATAGTTATATACTATCACGATAAGTATGTACGTGGCCTTTAGACTTTAGTATAGACATTTTTTGTGTTTTAATAAAATTAAGAGAACTGTTACTAAGTAGATTTTTTTACTGTAACAAGTGTAAAAATATTGTTTTTTCTTACCAAAATATGAATGTGAAAATATTATGACGCAGCGGATCTCAACTGTTCGGAGGACTCACTCAGCACGCACGAGTCAGGTGATTGCATGACAAACGATTTTAAACATTAGCACATTAACGTACGGTACAATTTTGTGTGTAGATATAATATAATTATCATTACACCAATTTAGTTATAATTATTTTTATATTTATTAATTTTGTTTTGAATTGTGTTTGTTACTTATTTTGCATGTTTATTATAGTATAGCAATAGTTATATTTATAGTTTAATTACTTAATTATTTTTTTAAGTAGGTTTTAGAAGATTGTCATGTGTTATTTTAGATTATAGTATATCTAATCTAAGAGGTACCATTTGACCGTTCTGACAGATTGAAGTATAGCGATGGGGTCAAAGAAATCGATTACTAAAATATCTGATTGTTAAGAGATTTCGATATCAATTCTTAGTATGTACTAATCGATTACAGTTTTACAGACTTATGTATGTTACTATAAAAGCCCGTGTAATGGCACATCACAGGTTTTACTAGTAAATCTTAGTATACACTAGACTCGGACACGAGCGATTTTTGCCTACAAAGATTTATTTAAAACTACATTAACTTACATACTTTGAATTTTTAATATGCGTTTTTGTTGAGATTTGGGTGAAAGATAAATTAAAGTATTATTAAACACTTTAAGACACCTGGACTGAAAATTACTCATTATCAATAAACTCGTTTTTTTTTAACATTTTAACAATTATTCGCATTCAAGTTGAAGAGCCGCTACACTACGGTAAAGGACCTAACTAAGTGACTTTGCTGTTGGTTATTTTGCATTTTTTATCAAAATTTAAATTTAGTCATTAAGAATTGTATATCTTGCGACAAAATAAAAAAAAGCTACATAACTCCGTTTTACGGAAAAGGTTATTGAAATTGTGTGAGATACGCCTATACAAAGTTGTTTCGTCTTGAAAAGTATGAAACGTCAATTGGTATCTCTTAGATTAGGTGGACTATAGTAGAATTATTAATAACATTATTTGAATTTGTTATGTAAACATTGATGTATAATAGAAAATATGATACTTTTTATTCTGTGTTAAAAATCAAATTTTACCTTTATTCTTCATTTTTCTTTCTAAGTGAGTTTTGCTAAAGCTATTGTAAAAGTCATCTGACAGGAGCATTGACTTTCAAAGTAAAAATGTTTCGAGACACCTATTTCATAGTGATTTCTATTGCTAAACTAAACACAGTTACAAACAAATTTTCTTTTTTTTTAACACAAACAGACCAACCTAAAAAGACACACTTTTACAATACTGTTATTTTACTATTGTACATCAATGTATAAATACATAAGGTCGGTATTTGGAATATAGGTACATTTCAAAAGTCGAGTTTGACGTGATCATTTGTCTTAACTTGTTGTGTAACTGCAGATGGTGGTGGGTTATGGCAGCCGGCCAGCTACGGACACCGCGCGTTCACGACGGGACGAACGCGCCCGCACGCTCCTCCACAGAGGGTCAGGCACTCGCAAACACTGAAGGTATTACTAGCGAAATATAATATCAAATTAAAACAAACACCCATGTATCAAATAATCAAAACTTCAAGAGAGGCATCCATATAGAACTATTCTATTTGACAATTTGCACTCTTTGGGCAGAGAAAAATACATAGTGTACCATAAAAGTATAAGAAAAGAAAAAAAGGGAGCGAAGCCGTTGGAAAAAGCTAATATTTTATAATACACAGCTAGCAAACAAGCAAACGACTTGGGGTTACGGTTATTTATAAATACCAATAGTTGTCGGTTTATCAAACCTTCAAACACCTTATTTAAATTAAGGTCGATTACCACACAATGATTTATTTTTATTTTCTACAGCAACCGGGTAAATTGGATATGAACAATTATACGATGGTGAGCGATGCACTGCAACACATCACAATCGGACCTCCGGCACATTCAAGAGATAGGAAGGTTGGCACATGCACTATATTTGCTCGTTTAAAGAAAGGAATAGACTTCTTCTTTTTTAACATATACTTCTTTTTTTGAACACGCTCCTGAACTAGACATTTTGTTGCGGGAGTTTCTTTGAAAAAATCAGAACTGTCCTATCGACACAATAGGAGGCGCTTCTAACCACACCACCATCTATTTGGTTGTTCCTGCAGGGCCTAATATTTCATGTTTAAATATGAATTTTCATTGTGCGAAACAGTGGCACTATTAGTTTACTAATCTTGGCTTGATGGCCCTGAAGAATGTTTTTGGTGTAAGTATAGATACTAGGAGCTAGCACGGTTTTAGAATATATTAATGCAAATTGGTACATCAAACCACAAGCAAAGCCAATACGTGTTTGTGTGTGTTTTTTGTATAGTCTCAACGTACTGGATGGACCCATTCGAGCGGCCAAGCGGGAGGACACCACCATCCTTCAGGAGTCAGCTCCGAGACAGAACTAGACGCGCAATATGCACAGGTAACTACTTAAGGTAGCAAAGAAAACAAAATTTAATTGGAACAAAAAATCGTCTATGGTCCTTGTTGATGAGTACCCATAAATATTTACAACCTTCCCCATTCGCTTTAGCGAGCTCTGGCTTCTTTATTTTACATTTCTTATCTCCCCCATCCACAACTCCTTACCTTGCTTCCTGTCTCCGTTTCTTGTCGTCTAATCACGTCAGAAACAAAAATTTGCTTCTGTTATGCCCACAATTCGGACTTTGTGAACTGTTCGTCCTTCGTTCAAGCAGTTCTACTTTGGAATGCGCTCCCGTTTGAAGTCTGGACGTCCACAAACCGTTCCATATTCAAAAAGAAGGTAAATAACCTCCTTCTTAATGAGACGGCAGAATCTTCTCATCGATAGTGCAGCAGCAACCAAGTTTCCTACATTCATATTGTACGAATATAATGCGAATATATGTTTGTATATGTGTGTGTGTGTGTGTACATATATATGTATAGTGTGTATTTTTTTGTGTATAAATTGACGTGCGTTATGTTGTGTAGTATATAGTTTAGTATTGTAACCTATGTATGTGCGCTTAATACTCACGATTTCTACACCACCTAAAGGTTGACTGGAAGAGAATGCCTTGGGCATTAAATCCGTCGATGTACAAAAGTGCATGTAGTTATAAATATATTCAGAAACAGAAGTTATATTTATAAACTTTAGATATATTAAATTAAAAATTGTCTTGTGGCAGTAAGGTAGCTAAATAAGTTTCGTTGTTACAGATAAAAGAAGCGAACGAGTATATGGAGGCGCCGTCCATGATGAGGCCGAGAAGACATCGGAGACATGACAAAACTCCACTCCATCAGCCATGTATGTTATTTACTTAAAATATGTCTTTATTTCTTTGAAGCGAGTTTTAGTGTAATACTGCTTTATTTTTAATTGTCTCAGTGGTAGTACATGCGACTGCGGTGCTGAGGTCTCGGGTTCGATTCCCGGGTCGGTCTAAATGTTTGTATGATCAGTAAATATGTGTTTATGATTTTGGATGTTTTCTATATAATATATATATATTAAAGAAAAAGTATTAAAGTATTGTATCAGTCAATCTAGTTTTCATAGTACACGCTCTGCTAAGTGTGACACTAGATGGCATTTCGTGTCAGATATCCGAAATATTATTTTCTTTCTAGCCATTTTCTCAGTTTTAGTATTTAACGATTTGTATTGAAGAGTGCGATGCGTATTTTGGGGGATGAATATTGATATTGTGTATGTGTCGTGCAGCGTTCTCGGAGACGGACAGCTCGGGCTCGAGCTCGGCGTCGGGCGGGGGCGGGGGCGGGGGCGGTGCGGTGGGGGGCGCGGGCGCGCGCCTGCCGCGGCGCCGACACAACGCGCACCACGCGCCGCGACACTACAAGAAACGGTACACGACCCGCCCACCACCTGTATACCTTTACCGAGCCATGCTTAACCACGCACGGGCCGGAGCGACCGGACGAATATCACGGTCTCACGTGAATCTGGGCCTCAATTCTGCTATTTTATGTTCAGGCCAAGCCACTGTCATACCACTGACACGCTATTGAGATGCCATCGAGTGGCCATTGGCATCGGTATAGATATCGGTAGTCTACACTAACTCAGCTCATGGCTCGTGGCTCACTAGTAGTGATATCAAAAAGATTGCCATATTTGGAAAAATAAATAAATCATTTCCTCTAAAAAAACGTAATATATTTTCAAATTATAAGGTCTCAACCATATTTTCGTTGCTTTCTACGAATCGTTGAGGTCACCGAGGCTCCCTCGCGCTGGGTTGATGCAAAAATTGTGATGTCAATATAAAATCTTTCTACTAAATTTATCTGATTGTTTCACTCATAACGAATATAACTTTTAGATGCTTTGTTTGTGTATTAGTTAGATATAGTGAACCCGTTTCCATTAAACATCCTTAACAACGGAGCTGACCAACTGATGTTATAAAATGTTATTTAAAAAAAAATGGTTACAAGTAAACAATGACACCTTAAAACTAAATTCGCCTATTATACATTTTTTTATAATTTATCACCAGTAATACATATGCATGTATTTTTAATTAAAAAATGTACATTATTATGTATTTACTGTAATTACTCACGCTTAACCATATTTCTAATATAATCACTGAATAATAAGGTCTCGAACAGAAAATAATGTAATCACCTATCGTCCTCTTTCTCTCTAATATTTAAAAAATATCAAGTTTGTATTCACAATTAGTTTACAGATCTTTTATAATGTCCTTACAGATCTTTAGGAAACTTAGTAGCCGTCCAAAGCCCGCGAGTCCCAAAACTGGGCATGTTCGTGGGACCGCCTGAACTGCCCACTGGCTATAGGGGCAGAACACAAGAAGATAAAGGTATACATTAAAGTATACTAAAATAAAATTAAGTACAAAGAGTAGAAAACGTTATACATTTAAATTTATAAAAAATATAACATTATCAACTTTTTTATTTTATTTTTAGCTGCGAGCGAGTCAAGTGAAGGAAGTTCTGATGGGGAAACGAGAAGGCCAAGGCCTTTGCCTCCACCTCCACACCATGAACCAGCACACAAGGTAAATATGAAATCATAAAATTTATAAATAAAAAAAAAACAAGTTTGTATTTAACTGAGATAATCTCTCCTTACAACGAAGCCAGTGTAAGGTATACAAATACAATATGACATCAAGAATGTGTTGCGTTGCTTTCAGTATAAAGATTTACCAAAGACCTTTCTGCAGAACATGACGTCAATGCTCTCTGGCGAGTACCCCTCGTCCGCGCAGGACAACTCCTCGTCCAGCGCCGCCGACACTCGTCGACGTCACCACCCCTTCAGCAAGCACGACCGTAGGCATAAGGTACATGTAGTATCAGACTATCGTCAATGATTACGAACGCATCCCCATACGCGTATACGTATACACGTACGTGCACGTACACGCACACTCACTGTTCTGCAAATAAACTTCATCTTATTTACAAACATTGTCTGTCTTGAATTACACGAATTTATTTAGAGGCAAATTTGAGAAAGTTTAAAAGTAATAAATCTATTCTACTTTTTTTCATTTTTTTACTTTATGCTTATAAAGGCTTATGAAAGAAAAAAGTCTGCCGTAATTAATTTAAATTTCGCCAAAAAAGCAATTTAAATTTCGCTATTTGATATGAAATATATCATCATCATCATCATCAACAGCCTTTAATAGTCCACTGCTGGACATTGGGCCTCTCCTATGAAATATATATAAATCAATAAATCTTTGATTTATCATTGTGTGCACTTAGTTTCATTAATTGTCTGAAACTACCCTCCTACAGTTAGCAGAATGTGCTCCTGACACCCTGATAAACATAGACTCACAAATGTAAACTTAAATTGTGATCCGCACATCTTTTCCACCAATAAGAACTTATTACTTAATTTTATAGGAATTTTCGAAGAGCAAAGATTCAAAGAAAAATTCATCTCAGTTGAACAACACGCAATCAATACAGAACTGGGGACCTCCGGTACGTACTCTTTACTTGTAACACGTAACTAATAAATATTTCTACAATTACGCTTTCTGTAGCCTTGCCGGCTAATTTTGACTATTTTTTTTCTACATAGGGATCGCACGGTGTCCCTCTTTTCGTTGAGAAGTGCGTAGAGTTCATAGAGAGGGAAGGACTCGCGTCAGAGGGATTGTATCGAGTGCCAGGCAACCGTGCCCACGTCGACATGTTGTTTACTAAGTTTTACGAAGGTAATAAATACATTTTTTCACTGATAAATAATTGACCGTGATTTTTAAGTCTCTTGTTTAAAAATAAAGAAGAAGTCCCATCTCGAGATACTGGAGAATTTAGAAGATTAGTTGACTAGATATGACTCTACAAGAAATCTACATTCTTAAATTAATAAATGTTACTAGATGTACCTTGCCCAGCTACGCCAACCTAGACACAACAAAAATAATCCTTGAATCTCGGGTTGTATACCGTGTCAAAATTTGAGCTCAATCGGTTCAGAACTTTTTGAGTTTTTGAAGCGTACACAAACCAACTTTACATAAGTGCAAAAAGCAACAGAGGTCCAGGATATATCCTAACTTGTCATGGCTTAACAACAAACAAACACACAGCTCATTAATTATAAAACAAAACTTAATGAGTTATTCATGATCAAAAGTCGACCACCAGATCTTACCTTTAGTAATTAAAAATTAATTACAATAATCACAAATTCAGTCGCAGTCTAGAATGTTTACATCAGGCCGAAGTCATTCTTTCATCCATGTAATTGTTCCTTATTTTTAACTTTCAAATAGCTTTAAAAAGGCAAATTTACTTAACACTAAATTTGATTTTTTAAAGCTATTTACGGTATTTATGCTATCACATACCAGTAATATACGAGGTTATAACAACACACCATCGAGGTCTAAAGGCCATGCTAAAGTATATGCTTATAAATCTTTTAAATAACGTATTTGTTTCAGATCCTAAAGTGGATTTAGATACTCTAGACATTCCGGTGAACGCAGTAGCGACCGCGCTCAAGGACTTTTTCTCAAAGAAACTGCCGCCATTGCTCGACGAAGCCAGTATGGTGCAGTTAGAAGACATTGCAAGTTAGTATAAGATAATTTATGTTAAAAAATATTTTAAGTATTCTTGTATATTCTTAATCCGTCACCATGACAGATGACGTCACGGTGACGGATTAAGAATACGGGAAATATTTTTGTGTTAGTCTCACCATCCCTATTCATCCTGTGGGTGTCCTAAGAGCCGACTAAGGACGCAGGACAACAGCACTGCAAAGGGAAGGAAAACTTGACGTTTGTGTCAGACAGCCAGCTTGGTATAGCAGGCCAAAACCTCCTTTCTAAAGAAAGGTCTATGTCCGGAAGTGGACTGTTAAACTGCTGCTGATGATAATGATATAACATTCAGTTCCCAACGTGAGGACGTGCGTTAAAAAAAGTGTCATATTTGCACTGTAATAGATAGCCAGAGTTACTGAGAAAAGAATCTGACATTAATTGGCTTCTTAACAGTCTTTATTTATTGAAATTATTTATAATTTTTATGATAGATAGATAGTATGGTGTTATAGCCATTACATTAAAATTATAAAAAGTCCTAAGTCTAAAATCCTAATTTTGAATTTAATAAAAATTAATGTGACCTATACTATTTTTTATGGTGATGATGAATTATACATATACAGCAATAAATAAACAGCAATTCCACTATGCAAGCTTCTTGAGTGTAGATAATTATGTGCTTATAATATATGGCTGTGAGTGTAGTACACTCACTCACACACTCACTACCATATATAAGTCGGTCGGTCGCGCTATGACAAAAGTATTGTAATGTAACGATGCAATCGCGGCGTGCTAGCGATGCGCGGCTGCATCGCGGGCGGCGTGGAGCTGAAGGACCGCAGCTGGCGCCTGCTGGCGCTGCGCTCGCTGCTCAACACGGCGCTCACGCCGCTCGCCAGCGCCACGCTCGACTACCTGCTCGAGCACTTCGCCAGGTAGGCCCTGCCCCCTCCTAGCCATTGCGACTTGACCCTCATTGATTTATTTAATTTTATTTATTTAAAAAGAAAAAAAAAACTGTTTGTGTGACTGTTTTATGAATACTTAGAAGACAGATGTCTAATATAATCAATATACTTTTCTATTCTAAATTCTATCAACTACAATCTAGTTAATTTGACTAAAGAAGCAAAAAAAAATCTACTATTTAATTAACATCATAATGATTGTAATTTTTAAACACATCAATTTTGATATTACATGCTTTTTACGTGTAAATTTTTATATAGATGTTGTGACTTATGACCTAGAGATTTAGATTATGTTTGAAATGTTTTAGTGTTATTGTAATATATAAAATAAATATCTTGAAATATTCGCATGCCACAAAGTGGCGTAAGAAGGCACGAAAATAATCTTTGTAACAACTCTACTATTGTACCCATATTCGCAAATAAAGATTTATTATTATTATTATGCACTTCGAAATCCACATTGTCAAGTAAGTGGTAAATCACAGTAAAGTCGAATAAGAAATAATACAATGAAATTTATTCATTTTTCAGCAAAACACAATTTCATTAAAATAAGATTATGCGACTCGGCTTAAACGTAAACAGATGAAACACCTTAAGAATACATCTGTTCAGTAAAGCCCTCGGCATATTTGATGAACTCTAAACTATCAGGACAGTCGTCCATTTTTACAATGTCAGGTCAGGAAAAAAAATTAAATTCACACTTCAACTTTCCAGGGTGGCAGATAACTCTAAACTGAATTCAATGGATAGCAAGAACCTGGCCATATGCTGGTGGCCAACGCTGCTCCCGGTCCAGTTCTCCGATATGGGTCGCTTCGAGATGACTCGACCGTACCTCGAGGACATTGTCCAGACCATGATCGATCAACACCCATTTCTGTTCCGGGGGCAGGAAGCTTTTGTTATGGTGTGAGGACAGTGTGTAAGTAGCCTTATATTTTCTTAAAGATATCTACATATAAAAATAAAATAGCATTTAGCAAAGGAAATTAATTCGTAGAAAATGAGCAAATGTTTGCTACAGTTTTGTAGCTAAATCTACGTGGAACGTGTAGTATGTTTATTTATATGGATATTTAATTTTATTCATAAAAATAGTACATAATTATGTTTGAACAAGTTAGTTTGATTTTGGGTTCGATTCCCACCCAGGAAAAATAATTGTGTGATGAGCACGATGATATGTTCTCTGCCTGAGTGTATATGTATATGTATGTATTTAGAAATATATTAGTATGTTTATCAGCAGTCTGGTTACCATAGCACAAGCTCTGCCTAGTTTGGAATCAGACGGCATAGTGTGTGATGTGTGAAATTATTATTATTTGTCAAAACTGGATAAAATTCAGACTACATAATTTTATTTGCATATTAAAATACTAAAATAAAAACACTGGCCTATATTAATGTTTACAGGAACCCACAATGCAGGTTGCATTTGTGATGAACGACGTTTGACGTCACTAGCGGTCGGTGATGTGAAATTACGTCAAAATTTGATACACACGAGATAAATAGCGCGTAAATTTGGCGACTGTATCTACTGTGCCGTCGCCTCTCGCCGTGACTCGTGACGTATACAAATACGTCACTGTGGACAAGCTATTATTGATCTTACGTACGTGAAAAACGGTACCTCCGTTTAGGAACGATACCTTTATTTTTACATGCAGTTTTTCATATCAATATCGCTTAGTGGTCGCGAAGTGTTGCTTGCATAAAAAAGGCTTTTGATTTAACATTGAAACTTAATTTTAACAACACGGACTAGTGAATCAGTATTTTTAATAGGTGTTATTCAAAACTATATCGCATTCGTAATAGATATAAGATAATGCACAAAAGTATTTAAAAAGGTTTTTAAACTAAGTAATACCGGTATGATATTTAAACTTATATATTTGTATTGTAATCAATTAATGGCAACACCATATAATGAGCACATTCCGTTCAGAAAGAAAATGAATTACTGTTAACGATTATTGGATATGTTATTATAAAAATAGTTATAAAACTTAATATTGGATTAATCGATTGAGTGTAAGTATCGATATAAAGCTTCAGAGCGCTTGTTTTTAACAAAATAATAATTGCAATGGTGATTTTGTAGTAGCGAAATGTGGATTTTTATTTTATTTTATTTAAAAATAAAATGTGATGTGCTTATTCTTATAAGTTCTTTCGTGTTTAAATTTTAAATAAATATATTTGAAAATAAATTAGGAAATAATTGATCCAAAATATCAAATAAGCAATGGTTCGGAGTCTTTGAAAATATTCAATGGCACAACAAAGCTGTCAATAAGATATTGGAAAGTAGAATACTGCTAAATTTGGTGGTGATCTTATTGATGTAGAACAAGTGTTGCAAGGTGGTTAAAAAAGTATGCATTTTGTCTCTGAATGTGGTGCCCCGATATACCACTTACTAGACAACACCGATAAGTCGGTTATTGTTTACAAAAAGTTTGCAAGGGTATTAACAACTCTAGCTATGGCTTATTTATTGAAATGCTAATGTTTTGTTTTTAGAATGTCTTGCCAATTGCCTATTCATTCAAAAATATATAGAACCTGATAAAGGCAGCTTTTTTTTTTAAATTTCGGAGACTGATACCCAACCTAGTTCCTTTATAACAGAATCCAAAATGCGCACTTAATTTTAGAAGTAAGTAATGTTACCTATTGTAAAATTTATTTCGCTGAATGTAGACGTTATTTTTTACACCCTTCGTTCATAGCTTTCATAAAAATCAGTCAAATACACTTAGATTTCATTCTGAAATATTTACCGTCCAACCTCTTACAGAAAAAACTGTTTTTACTAATTTATTTGTCTTAAATGCCAATTATTTATATTATTTCAATTTTTATTTTGAAAACTAAACGCTATGGTCTTTTGTTGTAAACGGCAGGCAATACAAACATTATGTAATACTTATGATTGTGATCACAATAATTCCCTGCTGCAGATATAAACTATAAACAATGGAGCGCAAACATTAACAGCACCGATATCTCTGCATTAAATTAATTATCAAATTAAAATATTACATATTTAGCATGGTATAACAAAATATGGTCTTAAAAATGATAATTCGTTTGATGAGGTTCAAAACATTTGTTTAATAAATTAAAGGAATTATTTCTCAGAAACAGAAAACTTGAATCCGTGGGTGACATTAATTGCCTTCAAAGTAATTATGGAAATAAAACTAAAACTTTTCTAACAAATTTTTATCATGAAACTAGCTGGTACCCGCGACTTCGCTCGTGCGGAATTTCAAAAGCGCTGCCTTAGTGGGTTCGATGCACGGACCGGGCAAAATTTTAAAGGGTTTATCTGAGAGGAAAAATAGCCTAAGTTATTCCTCATGTAGACAGCTACCTGGTAGTAAAATATTATCGAAATCGGTCCAGCCGTTTAGAAGATTACCCGGAACAAACAGACAAACATAAATAAACTGGTTTTAAATCACAGGGATCTTGCAAATAACCATGTGAGCATGAAAATAACCTAAATTTTGATAATTGTTATAATTTAAGAAGCAATATTTTATTTCTACACCGATTACTAAGAGCAGCTTGCTATTTATTTTAAGATCAATTCTAAGCGTTTTTGTCTTCCATCCTGAACTGAAATATTTGTAGGATGGTGTGAGAAATAATGATCTACCATAATGTATAGCGGACGGCCTATTTTGTGTAAGTGTTAGATAGACTGAAGTAGTGTGTATATGTATCTCATTTACTTTGTAACGTTCTCTATATAAATAATTTACGTGTACCTTTCATGTTTCACACTTTTTAATAGTAATTAATTAGCAATTTTTATGAGTCCGTATTTAAAAAAAATGTAGGAACACGTTTTATTAATATTTGGATTTGTAACTAAACGATAAATCTTACGAGTGAAACTCGGGTAAGCTGCATCGTTTTATTTTTGTAACTTCCCTACAAGAATTACTTGAGACTTCAATCGCCAACATACAATATTACAAATTACCTATTACTTAAAAATATTTCTTCTTGATTAGACAATATTATAAATTATTTCTTGATTATCCTTAAAGTGAGCCGTATTATTTAGTAGAGATTCTTCGGAAACTGCAGTGCAATTTTTTATTTATTTAAGGTGATCCATTTTTTTAAATATTTTGAAGTCTCAAGATCGTCTTAGTCGCATAAGTTAACGTAAGTGGTTGAAAGTACTTCGTATGCCATTAGGTGTTAAGAATAAATGTGCATCATTATAGAATACAATTTCAAATATTTAATTGCAATATACTGTTTGATACAGTTATTTTCAACCGATTTCCAAAATGTATTTGTATTTTTGAATGTAAATTTCGCTTCCTAGTACGTTGTTGTATTTATGTTTGTATTTTTATAAATATTGTGAATGTCGTAGATATTTCTGTAGATATTTGATGTTTAAATATTTAGTTTAAAACTAAAGTGAACTAAACATTGCAATATATTTATTCTTGAACGACAAACTAAGACATGCTTTAATATTGTTAAAACTAAATATTTAACTATCAAATTATTGTACTTCAAATGAGTCTAATCTTAATGTATTGTATACCGATACCTTTCTGATCGATTATAGACTCTGTTATTACGTCGTAATGTAGAAATTACTCAATTACATTATTTTGCAAACGCAATTTCGAATTTGTATTATGCATCGCGAGTGAAGTATATGTAACTAGTTAATAAGTATATTTAATATATTAGGTGTCTTCATTAAGCATAGTTAAGATGTATGTAAGTTTTTAACGATATAATGTCATTATATCATCGTCTCTGTCGCACACACCTGTTGCATAAGCGCGCTAGCGTGTGTGCGAGTGAGACAATATCATGTCCATTAGGGGAATGATGTGAAGGAATTTTTTATATTTTACTATGAATCGAAAAAGACAGAGCCTACCTGTGTTTCAAATGTTATTTTTCTAGAATTTTTCGCTTTTCTTATAGATCTCACTGGTGGTGTAACGATATGTTTAATTTTTAACTAATTTGTTTAATTTAAAAATTTCCCCTAATGTTTTTCAAGAAGAAAATGCAATTTCTATATAAATATTCGATGTAAATATTGTACATTTATTCTTTTTTTGCTTAATTATTTATTGAGATTTTTTTTATGAAAGAGTTTAAGCCATTATACTTGTTACTCCTTTGCAATATTATGAGTGTTTTTTTTTTTAAATATAACTTTTATTTTATTTTTGAGCACATGTTTTTGCTATACATTTTTTTAAAGTGCCATTTATATTAAACGTTGCGTGATTCCGAGGATTCCTATAATTGTTTCGTAATGTCATTTTTAGTGGACACGCTTTTTCGTTTCAAATTCTTTCCAGTAGGTTCTCGAATGTTCTGCAGTAGATATCGATGTACGCTTCGCCGCGTGTCGCGGCGTCGCCTGCTTTTTTGGTCTTTTTAGGCAAGAGGTCGCTTGTATAAGTAATTGTGACTGCGGGGTGAGAGTAGGATGTGCGAATGATGTGTTGGCTCTCCTTAATGTAGGTTTTAAAGCTGAGATTATTATTCGTAAGGCTGGGTTAAGAGCATAAGGCGGGAAGCGGGTATTAATTGTTCAAAATGTCTTATTAAAATGACTTTGGTATTTTTTTTCAAGACCCAAGTATTTAACCCTATTCAAGATTACTAACTTACGTCGTCTAGTGTTGTAAGCGGTGGTTACTTTAAAGGAACGGTCATTTCCTTTTAAAAGGTTAAAAAAAATAATTGTGTGGCTTGTAGTAGTTACGTGTATTTTTTTAACACAGTTACAGAAACTATGCGGCTTCCCCTAATTCCTTCCGAGGTCGTCGCTTTTAAACAAGGAAATAAAAAAAAAAAAGTTATTTTGAAGTCCGTTCAAAAAACTGTCCGTGAATCTTATCTAGCTTTATATATTTCATATGTTTTTTTAGATGCTATATAATTATTATCTTTGAAATTAAATTATTTAAACGTGGCTACTAGGTATTTGTTCTAGTAAAAATAACTTAATCAACGCTTCGTATGATTTTATATCAGCTTGTCGCCCTCGCTCATGAATTGCGCCTTACTTTATAATTATAGTAGTGTGATCAATGTTGTGATATTATCAATGGTGATGGTATGTGTATGCGCAGGCGGCGCCGGGCACCTCGGCATATGAATTTTGCTATGCGTCTCAATTACTGTAAAACACGACTCAAAAGAATGTGTCATATTTTATAATAAATAATCATCTATGTAATGAATACGTGTTTTATTATAAATATACCATTTGATTACTATGGCTATATGAATTATTCATGAGCAGTGCAAGATATTGTCAGATTGGTGACGGATTAAGAATACGGAGTGTCTCCATCCTTATTCATTCCGCGGCAAGAGCCGACTAAGGGATCAAACTACGCAGGACAACAGCACTGCAAAGAGTAGGAAACTTGAAACAAATCCTATACGAACCCGTTTGGCCTACGTGATCTAATAGGACAAAACCTCCTTTCTAAGGAAAGGCCCATGTCCATCAGTGGTATACCAACCCGTCGGGCCATCGTGGTCTAATAGGCCAACATCTTTCTAAGGTAAGACCTATGCCCAGCAGTGGTCTATTAATGGTTGTTGATGAGGCCAATATATGACCACTCCTGGCTCACTTAGTGGTCCAAATTTGGTAAGGATAAATGGCTGGACACGTTGCCGCGTGTCTAGATAAGTATAAAATCAAAATTACATATACATAATTTCAAAGAGAAGTACACCTCTCTGCAAGAAAGTATATTATTAAAAGGTCCTTAATATGTCTATTACGACACACACAAATATTACGATTGAATACAACAATGTAAATTCTCTCGTTCTACTCTCATTATTCGTTGTGTATGCTACACAATTTAGCAACATCAACTACCTGCCAGGTGATGACCACCCAATAAAAGTATAAATAGCATGGTCCCTTGTTCTGGACGTGACATTACACCCCCTTGTACTGAACGTGACATTACACCGCTTTGTACTGAACGTGACATTACACCTTGTACTGAACGTGACATTAAACCCCCTTGTACAGAACGTGACATTACACCCCCTTGTACTAAACGTGACATTACACCAATTTTTTGTCTAAGGAATAGTGGATCTGACGAATAAAACTATAATTATTTTCATTGTTTATTTATCATTCGACAATCATGCTCATAACTTAGATAACATAGTGCAAAACTAATTAATCACAGTATATTTTATGTGCTGTTGTAAATACTCTTTATTTACATACATGTGCAATTTTAACATCATACTAATATTACAAGACGTCTCTTAATTCTACTATACAATATACGCCATAGCTAGCCTTAGATGCTAAACATTTAGAGAGTGGAAACCGCGCACCGTAGCCCAACCGTAGCTGCCGTAAAAATTATGTCATAAAAATCTAAGCCGGGGAATTGACATAGATCGACGTAGGTATGGCCAATACAGAATATTTTAAAACATGACATCTGGCGCGGCGGTAAAGCATTCAAATCAACGTCACGAATTTGATTCCCGTTAATAGCAGATATTGCACTATTCGACCAATTAAAGTAGATAGGTATAATAATAATAAGTTTAAATAAAAATCTACATATGTTGTGTCAGAATGCTTTTTTTAATGAGAGAAATTGAGTCTTTGGCAGTTTATACTGATTGGAAGAAATAAGTATTATAGGTTATAGCTCCTTCAAAGCCAGATACCATACTATACAGATTGCCGAGTCCTCTTCATGTAGTATACTTAGATTTTTCCATCTAGTACTATATAAAGGCAAACTTTCTAAATGAAGTACACCCTTATAAAGTTAAACGCATCCAGCTCCCCAACAACCACACCAAGGTATTGAACCATCAGTGGAAGGAGCAGATAGCTTCCTCGACTTGTGGGTGCACGCGGATGCCAATGAATTCACCGAAGAACACATACTGTTGGTCCTCTCGTGCTCGGAGTGGGAAGTCATCTCCTGGGAAAAGAATACGAGAGGTTCATTCCCAGAATGTGTTACATGTATGCATATTCCAAAGAAAGGTCTATTTTTCAAATTTACTTAGAGACAAAAATAATACTTTAGCATGCAAATTGACTGCGGGAAAGAGACACTAAATATTAGCGAAGGAAAGTGAGAATAAATTTTGCTTATTTTTATTTGTCTGTATTTCATAGAACAATAAGTTAAGGATATTCAGTCGAGTGGTACTCGTATTGAGATTTATTAATTGTCTGAATGCAACGACTGAAAATAAAGAGGTGCCACAAATGTCTACAGTGATAGTGATGCCTAAGTTTACGCTAACTCCCAAAAGACGTGAAAAAAAAGTGTGTGTGTCAGCACCGACGCACGATAGCAGTTTACTCGTTAAGAACGATTCGGCTGCACACAAGTATACAAGTTATACACATCCATGTGAAAGGTGCGCACGATAGGTTGCACACAAAAAAAGTAACGAGGTCATTCGATCACTAATTTTTACTCTTCAAATTTTTTACATATTTTTTAATTTTTTAAATGAAAATCGATTCTTAAGGAGTAAATTTATAAGTTCGTCATCAATTTCAACCTAACTAAATCTCAATTTGATGAATGTATTAAAATAATATTTGTCGTATTGACTTCATAATTTTTAAATAAAAATAATAAGGTGAGAGGTCATAATTTTCTACTAAAGCGATTTTTATGCAAGAAAAATTAGAAGAGTAATTCGGAGATAGGAAAAATTGGAAGTCCTTTTTTAATATACGCTTTTATTAGCTATACTTTGTATTGTCTAATAATGTAAACAAACGAAAATCGATTTTAATGGACTCGTAAATTGTCTTATCGAAATAATAGCTTGAAGTTGATCTGATAATGAAGTCAGGAGGTAGTGGAATTCTTCAGTGGCTACTAGTAAACCATTCGAATTTGGAGGTCATATGATTCATTTTGAGAAGTTCAATAGATTGGGTTCGATTGATAATGGTGGTTTGTTGATAGCCTAGGAGGTATAATATTATATTTTTATTTTTTCAGAACTGAAAGTAAAATTATTTCCATAGCATTAAAACGAATTTTAATGTAATGGAAATAATTTTATTTATTGAATAATAATTTATTGAAATGTTGACTGTCTGTTGGCATTTCGCTGGTAGGAGATAAAAATTATAATTAAAATTGTGACCTGACAAAATCAATAAATTTAGTACTTTTCTACTCGACTTGAGAATTTGTGTGAATGAGTAGTTTATACATTTGTTTTAGCTGTTACTAAATTGAGAACTGGCAAGAGAATTAAGTACCGACCATCAATATTATGTGAAAGATGTGTAGGTAATTAATGCGGATGCTCCCTCCGCAATTTCATTTCTTAAGTGACTTGTTCTTTACCTGATAGCTGTCCCGCTTGTACCTCGGGCCTGAACTTGAAGACGACAGAGTATTCCTCGGCTTGTGTCTCATACAATGCTTGTGTTTCCCTAATTCCAGTACCTCACCCTCTATCAGCCTCTCGTTATCACTTTCCACTTGAACAGTTCCACCGTTCTTTGCTACTCCATTTTTCATATCCTTCTTCTTATCTCTTCTTTTTCTTTCTCTCTTTTTGAAAGTCAAAGAGAATCTTTTTCGTTTCTTAGCTTTCGGAGAATCCGGTCGTTGAGGAGCTGTAGACTTTTCTCTATCAGATCTACTGGTGTCATCGTCGGGCGGCGGAACTTGTGACTCTGTATCTGTTTTCAATGTTAACTCTGTACGAGTAGAAGAGTCAGGCTCGCCAGATTTATAGGCCACTTCTTTTTCTAAGTTAGCAAGTTCCATCCTACGCAGTCTCTTTGGCAGTTTGTTAACGGTGGCATAAATCGGTTCTTCATTTTCACCTACAGGAGCGGAGCGAGATCTCGAGAAAAAGTCAAATTTCTTTGGTTTAACAGGTATCCTTCTTTCAACAAAAACTACCGTACTAGCCACTTCTGTCGTCGTCGTTAAGTCATCAGCGGACTTTGGACTTGGACTACTTGGTATAGGCGTACCTCGCGGATAATCGTAGGTCAACTCAATGTTCTTTTCAGTTACATACGATTTCGGGGGCTCTTGTTCTTCTATACTCGGCATACAAGCTATCGGTTCCTTCATTTGACAGCAGCATTGTTTTTGAGTAATGCGCCGTGTGTTACACATGAAAACGGAGTTTTGTTGTATGTAAGTAGTCTGAATTGTTGGCGACGATTGAACTTCTCCTAACAGATCCTCGACGTTTCCTCCTGTGTGGAAACGTGGTGGTTGGTAGGGGGCGACGACGAAGCCCGGCGGTGGGGGTCCTGCGACGTGATAGGGGGGAGAGGTAACGGATTGGAAGAACCTTGGTACCTCGGACGGCGCGTCGTGGACCAGTACGTCAACCACTCGCTCGTGGCCATTGTCTGCTATATTTGGCTGCACATTGTTCGCGCTTTGCGTCATAACTCCCGATTTTTGAGTGTTTGTGATCTTTCTGGTCGCGTCCTCTTGGCATTCTTCGCACGTGCATGGTGATTCGGTGCCGCTCTGAAACATAAAATATGTATTTATAGTTGCCGTGCACCTACTTATTTTTGGAAACAGCTCCAAAATATTGCAAATAACATCAGCAAATTGTTGCGTTTGTAAAATATAAAACCTATTATACAAGTTAGTAAAACAGGTATCAAGATCAGAATTAATACTTTGCTACTATTAAGTACGAATATTATGTACCTACATTTAATTTTATAACCCAATTTTCTCACCAGGTCATTTACCTCGGTTACAGGTCAATAACACACGACTTAATGACTTTTTCACCGAAAGAGGTGACAGGAAACACACAGGACGGATGTGGTTTACTAAAATGCGGTAGGTATAGGGTATATTTGATATTTATTTAGAAAGTGACTCTCACATCAAAAGATGTCATAGGTTACCGATCGTTAAGTTTTTCTTCTTTTCCTAGATAAATATTTCCTAGATTACTAAAAGAATCGCATGGTTACAATAATACAATGACATTCAAATATACTGTTTACTTTGTTTGTTTATGAAATAAATATCGCCTTAATTTAGAAATGTGACTAAACTCACTACAGGTGTATTGTAACTCGTAAGTGTATTAATTCAATAACCTCTCCCGCTCCCGCTCTGCAATCTCCTTCGCAAGCATAACTCGCTCGCAGAAGGAGACGGCGGAGTTTTACGCACTCTTGATCTGTACTTCTTATGTTGCTCTAGTTGAATCCGAAACGAGATGGCTGTTTCAAGTTTAGTAAGTGCATTATTCGAACTAGAGACGGTGCGACCCTTCGCACCTCGCGAAAGGTTACTTTCACTCTCTTATCCAAAAGCATTACTAGCCACGCCCATGAATATTACAATATGTAAACACTTTCATGAATGCACTAAGCAAAATAACTATACCGAATAGTTATTTTGAGCATTAGGTAGCGCATTAAAATGTAGGTATAGTGTAGAAACGATATTACAGGCGTATACATTTAGACTAGAATATCCTCGAAGGGCTTGGCAGAGGTGTATTACACAGTCATATCAGCTATCAGCTACACAAAGTGTACAGAGGGTGTGGTTTTATTTTTAAGTTCGATGGTTGACCTGTCGGTCCGTGTGGTCTTATACAGAGTGTCACCACCCCTATTCAACCCGTGGGTGTCGTAAGAGGCGACTAAGGGAGCACACCGCGCAGGACGACAGCACTGCAGAGAGAAGGAAAACTTGACACAAACCCTATACCAACCCGTCTGGCCAACGTGGTATAGTAGACCAAAACCTCCTTTCTAAGGAGAGGCCTATGTTCAGCAGTGGACTATTAAAGGCTGTTGATGTGATGGTTGACCTGTGAAAGACATGTTGTAAAGTTCATGTTTGGTACTTTTTTGTTTAAAATAAAATAAAATCCATTTTCCTTTTACCGCGTTATATAACATCACTGCTGTTTATAGGACGCACGTGTCCAAACTCCCTGTTTCCTAACAGCTTAATGTAATTGCAGAACCTGTCTTTAATTTGAAGCCGTTTGAAGTCCTCGGTATTGTTTTAGAACGTATATTTTTAAGCAATTTTGACCGTTCGCGAAATCCATTTGCCGATAGTAAAACTTTATGAGAATTGGACCGAGTATTGACAATAGTCTGTAGTTTTCTGAACGTTTATATTTGTTTTGACAAATGTGAATGTAGATTAAGTATTTATTGGTTGGATTATTTACTGCGACATGAAGTGATACTGGTAAATAATAAAGTAACATGGAGATGATGGAGAATACTCGTAATTTATATCATTCTATATTTCTTTTTAGGGTTCCGTACCTCAAAAGGTAAAAATGGAACCCTTATAAGATCACTTTCTTGTCCGTCTGTCCGTCTGTCACCACCGATTTTCTCAGGAACGGGTAGACCTAGCAAGTTGAGATTTATACCAGATACTGAGTACCAGATACTGAGACAGGACCTAGATTTTTATACACCTAATAGGGATATTAGGTGTATAAAAATCTAGGTCCTGTGTCAACACGATAAAAATATATGGGCAAATTTCGATTTTCGCGAAAACTTGTAAGTACCATATAGGGGAACTACCATATAGGTTGTCGACCCAAAACCTATAGGGTACTTCCGGTTGACCTAGAATGGTAAATTTTGGTTACAGCACAAGTAAAGAGAAAATTCTGAAAAATAAAAAAGTTGAAAATTAAGATAAATTTTGGTACTTACAAATTTTCGCGAAAATCTACGTAAAATCTGGGCAGGCACGGAACCCTCAGCGCACGAGTTCGACTCGTACCTGACCGGTTTTTTTTCAGTCTGGAAACCGGAGTTATCGAGAGGCCGTATAAAGTAAGTTGGAATGAGACCGACACCATACTGTATGCCATGCTGCGCTTTAAATGGGACTACTGTTGATGTTGCGGCGGTATGTTTTCGACGGTCCACCTTGGAAATAACTTTACATCCTTAATATAGGTTCTTTTTATTTGACAAACGTCAACTAAACCAAAAATATGAATCAATAAATGCTATAGAATGTGTGGAACAGCTAACATTGAACTTTAGAACTAGATCCGTATAAACATAAATTATAGATTATACCGTTTTCACAATTCAGGCATTGCAGACACAACAGTTCTCCACTTTTTTTTTCCTGTGCGGGACGGGACGCCACTCGGATACTACCCACCAGTGAGGTGGTTATGTCGGACTCGAACCGACCAAAACCGCACGCCGTCTCCAGGTACCAGTCGCCGGGGCAGGTATACCCTATACCTGCCCCGGCGACTGGTACCTGGAGACGAAAGGAAGGACGGACGGACGAAAGGAAAGGAAAGCCCGACGTACCTAAGGGCCATCTACGGCTTATAGATGACCCTCTTCTATGTGGGAACCCCGATGTTCCCTTCCTGGCCCCGAAGGGCGTGCGCGCCAAGTAGTGCGTGGCGTCGTCAGCCACCCCGGGCCCAACAGTTCTACACCTAGGCAATATATTATGTATGGAATATTAGCAAAACTCGACAGATGTTATTCTTCCAGTGCTTATCGATGATCCGATCCTAAGGGTTCTAGCGTGATGTAAGCGTCTATATCTAACGTTTCTCATAGAATGTACCGAAAAGTTTTCCGACAAATACAAAAAACGACAAAATCGGACAAATCCGACAGGTATGTCTTAAGACAAGTGCGTTTATTAAATAAAACTTCAGCTATATTATTTGGATATTCTAACGGACGCAACAGATTCAGTCCTTTCGGATTATTAGATTATTTTTTCCGTCATAATTAATTACCTATTTACACTTCGGTAAATATGTTTTTTTTTACTGAACCTGGTTGCAACGTGAACACAAAGTTCACGTTGCGTTGTTTAATCGTCAATTTAAACGATTTGAGGACTCACTTAAACTCTCAAAATTAATCAAAATCGGCGCAGTGGCTTAGAAGGACCCACATACAAACAGGATATATTCCTAATGTTGTCTTTGAAAGAAGAAATAAATGACAGAAAAACAAAACAAACAAACAAAACTTTGTATTTCTGATTGATGTCTTCCAAAAAAATACGGCGTGTGATGTTGTTTGTAAACAAAACATTGTTAACAGCCAGGCCCACTAAAGCACATTTCGTGAATATAGCAAATAACAACAACAGACCTCAGACAACCGACGGACTTCTTACAGTTGTCTCATCCGTTCTGCGAATTTTTAAGTGTTAAACATAGTCCGTGTGGTGACGGATTAAGAATACAAATTGTCACCACCCCAATTCATCCCGTAGGTGTCGTAAGAGCCGACTAAGGGAGCAAACTAAGCAGGACAATAGCACTGCAAAGAGAAGGAAAACTTGAAACAAACCCTATACCAACCCGTCTGGCCAGCGTGGTATAGTAGGCTAAAACCTCCTTTCTAAGGAAAGGCCTATGTCCAGCAGTGGACTAGTATAGGTTGATGAAACATAGGATTTTGTCCATTGGATTGTCACTATTTATATCTTAATATGTGGCTTCGGTAATATAGATTTGTCGGTCAATTTTTTGCGGAATAAATAGAATTCTACTGCCAGTTCCAGACTATAATCTATCCGTTCTGACGTGATTAAGTAAACCGTTCTGACGTGATTAAGTAACAAACATACATCTATCCCAACATTCTAATGGTATAGACGAATGCCAAGCAAAAATCGACTGTAACGAATTAAAGAATAAATATGCAAAATAATTTGTAACATTTGGCACAAAGGTGGTCACAATTTTATTTGTGTACGTATAAGGACCTTCTTCGTTCCTATTGAATACCAAACAATATTAGTGACAAACAAAATTCCCTCCACGCGAACCTTCCGGATGTAAAGCAATATTATTTTGATACAATACGCATACTATTTTAGATTTTAAATTCGGACAGCTCTTGAATCTAAACAGCTTTATGTGTATGATGTATTGATGATATGGGACTATTAATGCGATTGTCTGGTCGGCTGGCAGCCATAACTCACTTCATGAAGGCTATTCGATAGATAGTATAAAATTAGTTCAATGTTGCAGTTCACAACTTGTTCCTTCAAATATACTTATTTTTCAATTAAATCAAAGATACCACATTCACCTCAGTGAATATTTTTCCTCCTCCTTTGAATATTGTAATATACTATATCTTTCATATATGTTTTGATGTTAAAAGAGTAGTTATTAATATTAGAATTTTAATAAAAAAGAAGTACCATTCATTGTACCTTCAAAGCGTAAACTTGCAACCAAATAGTCGTTTAATTATTTATAAAAGTTTCATGTACTTCTTTAAAATGCTACTGATCCCTATCAAGAGAAGTAGAAAATTCATGGTATTATACTTAATCTATATTATGGTCTGTATTTTTAAATTTTGGCTGAACTGTATAAAAACTGATAGAAATGTAGAAACATCAAGCCCTAAATGATTTTGAAAACGAGTAAAACATTGTTGTTGAGTTAAAGGTGTGTTGGTATATAAACTTAGTCAGAAAGCCGAAATGTCGCCGCCTTTTAGTCAAATATATATTTGCCATACCTAAACGATAGTCCCGAAGCTCACAAAAAAAAAACAGTATTTTACATCACCACATCGTAAGACCTTAACATCATTTTAAAAGTTATGTTCGAAATTTAAATAATAATATACCATTAAACTGAATAGAAAGAAAAGCTCCTGGTACCTTCATCACTGTCACTAACAAAGCAGTAACACGGCTGCTCACGCGACGCTCCAAACGCGACTGCGTTTATTTATAAGTCAACATTACGTTCTACAATATTTTCTTACACATGATTTTCTTGGCCGTCCTTGACTCATTTGCTACTTAAATAAAATAAATTATTTTACGGACACTTTTTCCTATTCTTGACTTATAATTTTGTATATAATACATTTGTTTTAATGGGCAGAATTAATCTCACAAATTTTAAAATATAAGTTGCCCATTATTTTTATCGTGACCACAGAGGTTACAACCAAATTGTTAGTCATAGTCTATTTATTTTTATGTCTGTTTGTACATTTCAATAGTTTCTCATGCTCTAATATACTAAGTATCTCTACGAAGCATTGATAAGTCAAAACGATTCCTAAATTTAGTTTTCTTTATTACAGTTCTATTTTTTATGAAATAGGGGTCAGGCGGTCATTAATCACCTGCACCTCAAGAGTCACGAGTGCTTTGCAGGTCTTTGAGGCACACTTTTTGCTGAAGGGAATCCGCCGTGCACGATGAAGCTAGAAGTGATAGTGTGGCAACTCACAACTCGTGGTAGACCGTAGAAACCATTTCTGGATAACTCATATGTATATTTGCAGAGGAACGATTGATGGGCAAACGCACGGACTTCTCTGAGTTGAATATAAAACTGAATGACAATAATTACCTTTTTCATTGTACTCTGTTATTAGTGCATACTGGTATGGTTATGGGCAGGGTCAAGGAACATCACTTTTTCTGATATTTTAGAGGTTGTCAATTTGTGGGTGAGTTCTTCTTCCTTATTTCTTTTAAATATTTATAGCAGGCATAGTCAACAGTTTTTGACTTAGCCTAGGTGGCAACTGATACTTCTTTGTAAAATAAATTAATCACAATAAATGATATAGAAAGAAAAAGACAGGCAAAGGCAGGATCCTTTGTGTGTTGTCTTTATGTGAGACACCCAAGAGTTAAAAAGTATCATCGTCGTTCAACATCTGTTCCTAACCTGGCCAATGACATTGACTAATGTAAAAAACTATGGGCTAACCTTCAGGAATCAAGGCAGAATAGAAATGAATAATAGTTTTGCATAAATTTAAAACAATGGAGAAAATTCCGATAATTATAAAACATCAAGCTTCCATATGACGGGTCAGTGGGCGGCAAGTCTAAATACTTCTATTTTTAACAGAGCGGCTATGGCTCGTGGAAAACTGATTAATACGTCAAACATCTCAATGGCATTCTTAAAGTTCCTGTGACGAGTTCTAAAGAACTGCCCGTTTAATCAGCTTTTATGGTAATTGAGTATAAATGATCAACCACCTTGCCACGTACTTCTTACGACTTTCTCCATTCATATATCATATCATAATTTCTTTTATTGTTTATTAGTTGATGTCAGTTAATAACGTCTCACACAAAGCAACAAGTATTTCTAGTTAGGGAATCAACGTGAAAGATGCATATTCGGGGACGCAAAGCATGAACAAAGTTAGTGACGAAAGTTTTAAGTATGGAAGTGGACGGATATAAGAGTAGAGGACGACCGAAGAAAAGATGGACTACGTAAGAATATAGCTAGGAAGGGAGTAAGCAGTGAACTAACGAGTAGTAGAGGAGAATGGAAAAAACTTAGCCAGCGCTAGCCCCAAATAAGTTTGGGAAAAGTGTAAGAAGATAATGATGATTCATATTTGGAGAAGTGGTGTTCCAACTTAGGAAAGGAATCGAGAACCAAAAGACAAAAGTGTGGATACATGTGGATGTGTGCTATTGATGAGCCAGGGTACATAATTTTTTATCTCGTATAAAAGGTGTGTATTACGCAAAGCTAGGTTTAGTTGCAAGCACAAAATTTCTACATAGATGGCTGTATATAATAGACATTGTGTCAAAGCTGAGACAGAATTTAGATATTTATGTTCCACTTTAAATGCAATTGTGAGTTTGATTGTTGATTACGCTTTTGTACCTTGGCTACTCAAACTATCATCATGAATTTTGCACGCATGTTGCCAGGGATACAAAAAAGACATCCTTTTTCCTGGATAAAATTATAGTATTTACGAAAAAGGTACTGTGGTACTGTGTTGATTAGGTAATTCATAGAATCTAGTACATATTAAGATGTAGTTAAGTAATTTTCATCTAAACACAGACTAAACGTTAGTCTGTGTTTAGATGAAAATTGAAAGTCTGAGGAAAAGTTTGAATCAAATATGATTCGGAGTTCATATCTCCATTTTCTAAAGATAAGAAAGAAAAGGAAATAAATAATAATAATAGGATGGATAAGAAAGAAGGATGGATAGAACTTAAAAAAGGAGAGATCATTTACTAAAATATTGAGAGGGAGAGAAAGATAACAAATGTGAAGATGTGTTTTCTTAAGCACACATTTAGGTACGAAAAGATTCTGACATTATTATTACTATTAATTTCATCTTTGAAGGATAGGAATATATCTTGTGTCGCTTGGGATTTCATAAAGAACACCCAGACTCAGAACAACAATTTGTGGATCACACAAAGTTTTGTCCCATTTGGGGTTCGAACCCACAACACTCATCGCAGTCGGAGGCAGTGTCTGACCGCTTAAACCATTAGATCATCTGTGCAGTCTGAAAAGGCGTAGTTGATAAAGATTAAATTATCTCGCTAATGATACGTAGATAGGACAATGGTCGGAGATTAGTGAAAAATTCCTCACCTTTTCTTGCTCTCCTTCTTCAGGCACCACGCTGAGGTCGTGGAAGGCGACGCGCGAAGATCCGTCCACGCTCACGCAGTCAGGGCAAGCGCTGCATACTGACACGCTGTCCTGCCAACCGATAATGTGCTTTATTTATTCGACATTATGTAGTTTAAATATTTTTGTAATTAAAAGTCAATACGCTTTAACCTTTTTTTTTGTTTTCCACTTGTTTTTTTTTGTTCCCACTGTCCCACTGTGAAGGAGAAACCATAAGCTTTTAGACAAGGAATCCATAAAAAAAAAGAATTTCTTTAAAAAAATGATTCAGGTCACGACTGTTGACACGTAATATTTGTTATACTACAAATAAATAGAATTGAAGTGTCTGTTTGTAATGTGAAAATAATAGGTTTTTTTTTCATGCCCACAAGGTTATTTGTACGATATCTACGCCTAAAACACAATTTAAATATTTTTTGTCAATCTGTTTGTTAGGGGTAATCTTCAAAACGGTTGTACCGATTTTAATAATATTTTACTATCTGTAGCTGTCATACAAGGAGTAACTAAGGCTATTTCTCCGCTCAGAAAAACCTTATAAAATTTGGCCCGGTCCGGGAATCGAACTCGAATCGAATTATCGAGCGATAATTTACAAAAAGGTCTTAGCAGTTCTCTCTCTTTCCATTAATAGGATACAGCAGACGTACTAGAGACACCGTGGATGTTATTTTTTTTATTTCTTACGGTCAGGTAGATAATGTTCTTGTATGTATAGACAAACAAGTATTTTTTATAATGGACTAAAACATATGTGTACATTATAAAAAAAACAGGCACAATAGAGGTTAATGAAGTACCTATCTCTTTGTGTCAGAGACTCCATTTTGTTCAGAAAAAAGGTTGTAGATTATATTCAAAGATGTTTGTTTACATACCTATAGACAATATAAATTGTGATATGAAGCATTTAACAATGTCAAAATGACTTTTTGGATTTTAAGTTTTTAGTATTAGTTTAGTTTTAAAAAGTTTATTCTGCTATTTACAATGGATTTTTTAAATCTACCAGTGGAAATAGGCTCTAAAATTGTTGAATATTTAGATATTAAAAGTAAAATTAACGTTTACAATAGTTGCGATGAGCTGAAAGATTTTTTTGCTACCTGGTGCAATATAAAGAGTGTTGTACTATCAAGAAGCACACTGGCTACTGTCAAAACTTTGGAAGAGAAACTATTTTCTGATCTTGGACAACAAATTATTGAATTAAATTTAAGCGGAGTACCAGATTTAACAGCAGAAAAGTTGAAACCTTACATTCCTCGATTTGCGCGGTTAAAATGTCTCGATGTGACATTCACAGATATTTATTTAGGAGATATTTCAGAAATATGCCCTCAAAATTTGAAGAAAATAGGCATTAACTATTTCAAATGTTTCAATAACTACACTTACGATAAGATTACTGAAGAATCTAAAGCTGTCTTCAAAGACCGACAGATCGAATCAGTTCACTTTATTGTTATGGAGCTAAGTTTATCAGCATCCCCTTTTAAGTTTCTTAAAGATGTGAATTCTATCAAAGATTTGAAGTTAACAATAGCTGACAATTACAAAGAATTTTTGAGCATTAATAATGACGAAAATGAATCGGAAGGAGTAAATTTAATTGACATCAATTTTCATAAGTTAAATTTTATTGCCAGGGATTGCGCAGTCTCACACAAATTATCTAAATACTTAACAGGGATCACCCGCCTTAATTTTAAACAACTTGAATTTATATTCATGATGTATTTAGAACAAATAGAAATATATGTATCGCCATTGTTCGCAAAACTATTTACAATGAGTTGCAGTTATTTAAAAGTAGAAGTGATTTCTTATTTACCCTTGAACTTTATGTTAGATGGCAACATTGTTTTTAAAGCTTGGAACAAACAGACCTGTAGCTTTGACGAACTATTCTTTGAAAACCTAAAGAAGGAATTAAAAGATTACTTGCCGACTTACTTTTGCATGCACAGAAATCATTGTATGAAGATAGTTGACGTTCCAAGCAGTTGGTTTTGTATCGACAAGTGTGTGAATTTCGAGAAAATTCCGAATTTACCAGACAAAGTTACATTGACGGATTTTTGTAGGTGCGATGGCGCTATAATACAATCTCGGTATCCTATAGGTATATCAAAAACATCAAATGCATTACAGCATTTAACTGTTTTGGGAATCAGCAATATTTCGATAAGAAGTATATTCTTTAGAGTAATATTTGAGAAGTGTCCTAAGTTAGTGACATTAAACATTTACGTGGAAAACCCTGGGCTAATTCAAACTTATATGCAATCACTATCACAGTCCATGCATTTAGCGAAGTTGAAAAATTTCTTTCTGTGTTCTGAAGACATACAATACGAGATTATTTTTAAAATTTTAAGTCATTGCCCTACATTGGAAAACGTTCACATGTGTGAGTTTGAAAGAGAAATAAACAACGAGGACGTTGAGTTAGGAAACATTTTACGCTTTATACAAAAAAGTATGAATTTATACAGTTTGTTTATAGAGGCCGATATGTCGGCGGAGGGCCTAACCATGATGATGGCACCTCTGAGGACGATGGCGCAACGCTTAGGGAGGAGTTATCTTTACATAGAAGTCTGTCAATCGCACTGTGGTTGGAATCCATTTGCAGATGTGTTCAGTCCTAGTCCCTTACATATTTTTAATAATTGATGTTCCAATAAGTGTATCGATTTTTTTTTGATAAATATAATTTTATGAAGCTTAACTTAAAAATGTTACTTGTTTATTAATATATATTTTATTGCTGAAACAGATATATATCGTTCAATCTTTGCTTAGGGTTCAATTATATGTCTCAAACTTGTAGAAGTGTCCGGGGGTGACGGACTAAAAATACGGAGGTTCATCACCCCTATTCATCCCATGGGTGTTGTAAGAGCTGACTAAGGGAGCAAACTACGCAAGACAACAGCACTGCAAAGACAAGGAAAACTTGAAACAAACCCTATACCAACCCGTCTAGCTTAGCGTGGTATAGTAGACCAAAATCGCTCTTCAAAGGAGATTAAAGCCTATGTCCAGCAGCGGACTATGATAGCCGAAAGAATGATGAAATGTGTCTTTTTTTAAACTTATGATTGTGTACATAAGAGGTATAATTGCATATAAGAATTTAAACGTTCATTTATTCTTCTAAGCGACTTAATCTCATAATTGTTTTAGGAGGCGTTAAATATTGCTGTTCGGTACACATTTCTCTTTTTGAAATTTAGTTTTTTAACAATCGCTGGTTGATAAGCATGCTTCCGAGAGTTGGAAGGAATACATCTTGTTCGTACAAGATTATACTCGTACTTCTACCTACCATTTTTTTTCTCCCTATACGTCGTATATTTATTGTTTCTACAATATGTGGATACAAAAAACTGGTTTTGTTGATCATGTTGATCATGTTGATCATGTTTTTATTTGCCTTACAAAGACATTCAAAACTCTACTCCCGAATTTCTAAATATACTTAACTGGCACGATAAAATAATAATATGACGAATTCAAAATACTTATTATAATATTTCTGTTCACGCTTCATTATGTTCTGGTGCTACGTACGTCCGAGTGCTCCGGCGATGACCTGCGCTCGCGCAGCATGCTGTCCAATCTATCGTACTCGTAGCGTAGCGCCGATATCTCCCTTTTCAGCTGTTCGTTTTCTCTTTTCAACTTCTTTATATCCGATTGACCTGCATTCGTTTTATTTTATATAAAAATCATGATCTGCAGTTATGAAACGAAAAGAAATAGCGAAATTATGACGTGGACTGTTTCCAGCTTAGCAGTAGGTATATGAGGTGGAAGTAGGCTACTTAGTTCCAAAAAACATAGCACTTTTTTCTAGCCTTAATGGGTTCAGAATGCCTTTTATTTAAAACAAAAATATATTTTAAAGAGTGTTAGGTATCACACATTGTTAGTAATAATAATAACTTCACGCATCTCACACGAGGCCGTCTGATCCCAAACTAGGTACAGCCTGTACTATGGTAACCAGACTGCTGATGAACATATTTATATATTTCTAAACAAATTAAAGATATTTTACACCCAAATGATCCTGCTCATCACACAATTGATTGACTGCACGGATGGCGTAGTGGTTTAAGCGGTCGCCAAGCTGCTTACTACGCTTACCCGTTGTGGGTTCGATCCCCACATGGGACGACACTTTGTGTGATCCACAAATTGTTGTTCTAGGTCTGGGTGTTCTTTGTGTCCATTTTATATACATATGTTTGTAAATTTCCCGTGAGACATGATATTTTCCTAATGCGAGAGACGTTTAATAAAATAAAATAAAGTTGTCCTAGGTGGAAATCGATCCTGACTTGTAAGTCCACTAGACCACCAGACCAGTGAAAGTCCGTAGTACTTTTACTGAATCCTTCCAGCTAAGCTAAACTGGATGAGTTATGAATGGTTCCAGGTTGGTAGTGCACTTGGTGGCGTGCGAACCCGCAAATACCTGATTGCAAGTTCGACGCCGTAGCTCTTACGCTACCACCGTTTAAATTATTAGCAGTCAGCCATCTCACACTGACCGTGTGATTTCAAACTAGACAGTTACATATATTCCAAATGTAAACCTGCTTAATGACGTATTTATTACAAGTAAAAAAACACTGCAGTTGACAATACTTTTTAGATATAAACGGCAAATAACTAGAAGGAATTCCGTATATATTACCTCTTTCTACTTCGGCATTAATATTGATTGTACGTAGGCGCAGCTCTTCGTTCTCGTACAGCATGCCCCGGGAGGACTTGCGATCTAATCTGAAGACAAATTATTAATTGTAGCTATTTGACAACGATTTTAAGAATGCATTTTCGTTCTTGGCTTAACTTATGCAGAAGAAAATGTTTTAAAAAATTCATTAGCGGTTACTTAAATATCATTTAGCTGCTTATTCTTTGACCGATTTGACCGATATGTTTTTGATCCCGTGCCACTCTTATGTGTCATGCACCTACATTATAATAAATTGTAATCAGCTGTATGATTGTACTGTGTGTGTGTGTTCTTCATTCCTTAATTTTGCACCCTTTAGAGGTGGTATTTTTTCGTCAAATATGAATGGTTTGGAACTCTGGCATTTAAAAAAAATGTTTTCTAAGTAGGTTTACTATTTAGAAAACAATTTTTGAGAGCGTATATAATTTTAAGGAATTAAGAATGCAGTTTAGTATAATTTCTCCTTATGGCAGCCACTGGAACTCTGATTGTCTATCTAAGTAGTAGTATGACATCATTGTTTATAATTCACTCTATTTCTATATTCTTCGGGATCAAGATAAGAAATCGATTAAAGTTTCAGTCTGCAGGTTTAGCTAGGCCCCATAAATTGTAATTGCTTTGGTTAAACACGTCTACAGAACTGATATTATAATCAATTCAATTCTTTTAAAAGTCAGTGATCGGTTAGTTATGTATATGCACATGAATGATAATTAATATGAATAGTGGAAATTGTTGTTAACTGTAAAGATGGTGTCACCGACAGGCTTGCTTCGGTTTCAAATATATTAAGAGCAAAATACATTGAGCGGGTGACTGAGCAGTAAGGATTTCACTTCATAATGTTTTGTTACATTTTAGCGCATTTAAATTTTATAATAAAATAAAATCTTGCACAATAATGAAAATGAGCGTGTTTTTTTTATTGCAGTTCACGTTAATGCTTTTGACTTTGTCGTTAATTTTTGATCGGTTCGAGCAGTGAAAGCGCGAAAAAAATTAAGATCTCAAATCTAAGGAATCTATCAAGATATTTACTTTGTGCAGTTCGATCATTACGAACCACATCATATGCCTATAACATATGTCAAGAGTAAGAATTATTTTCTCTGTCGCTTGTATTTTATCCCATAACAGCGCAAGCCTTTCAGTCACCATCTTTACACAATGTTATTGTATAAGTAATTTGATTTATATGAAGTGACATACAAAATATAATAAAATTATATAAAAATAATCATGCTCACATTTGAGAAAATTAAAAAAAACTTGGATGAAAAGTAAATATATTAATAAAAGATCACGTTGGTTGCAATTTACAACGTATCTCAAAACACAGCCAAATAATGAAAGCTAATGAATGCATCAAGAAAGAAGTAAGTAGTATATAGAAACATTAAATGGCCGCCCTCTATGTTTATATATTACTTTATATAAAATAAATAAAAATAGCTTTGAAAAAATATTAGATTATTTAATTATTTTAATTTCTTATCAAATAAGAAATAAATGGCATCTTTTCAGAATAATATAAGATCAGATATATCATATAAATTTGAGATCAAATATAGATCTGCTATCTGATATAGAACTTATTAAAGTAGCGGAGATCTTTTACATTTTGTCTGATTTATTCGCCAATATTCCTCGATATTGGGATGCCAGTAACTTCGATTAGGTGTTCGTTTTTGTTAGCTTGGCTTATATTTTAGTGTGTTGAGTTGTAGAGGGAGAATAGCGCTCAAGAGTGCGTTCAGAGTGCGTATACGCCATTTACAGTGCACATACATGGACATATCATCACTTTTAATTCTTTTACCCGTCATCATCATCCTGTGACTCTTTAGATTTTGCAAGAGATCTCTTGAGTCGCCACCAAACGCGCTCGTCGGCTAACTTCACCCAAAACGAGCCGGCTACCCGCCGGAAATCCATGTGGCTTGGGTATGCAGTCCACAGCAATTGTCTGGTTAAGTACGTTAACATTTAGTTTAAATGGTCATTCAATTTAAATGGTGGCTTCTGAGAAATATTTTCTCAGAGAAGAGAAATAATTAATAGGTGTTTATTAGGATATTTTCATTAGAACGAAGAAAATAAAAAAAAAGATTTTGGACAAACAATCAAAAAATGTTTTAGGGAACATACGTATATGTTGAATGAAAACAAAAGAGTTCTCTGTGGTGCTATTTGGTTCGTTTGCCAGCCGGAGTGCTATATACGCGTAATCTGCCGTCGGACTGGGGCACCTCTAATTTTATTCCTATAATGTGCACTTTAAACGGGGCATAAAAATTATGAATTTGATGTAAATCAAAAATGAAATGGGTGGTGGCTGTGATGATGTTATCTGATTTAATTTGAGGAAGTCATTACCCTAGTTTCTCGAAATACTACATTTTGCAAAAAAAAACTTGTGTGAATGTTTTAAATGCCAGTTCATGACTTCCTCTGTATTCGTACAGCATGGATGATGATGTCTAGGTGTATGTTCCACTCACTTTCGGTTTGGTTTGATGTTGACATCCTTCCGTCGCGTGCGCAGCATGCTTGCTCCCGTCATGCCCGACATCTTGCTGCTCGATATCCATAAGCTGATCAACACCTACCACAAACAGAATAATGAAATTGTAGAATATTTTTTAAACATAGTGAGGAGTGTGGTTGTTAATTTTTTCAACCCTTGAAACCTCGTTGTTTCCTTATAATACCCTTTATAATAAGAAACGAAGAACATTTTTAAAATAAAGATTCTTAGATTAACTATGGAAAGAAAAAGAAAAGGTTTTGGAGTTTCGAAAACACAACCGAAAAAAATCCCTTTTTCGCCTCGGATACCACACACCGGTGGCTATGTCGGACTCGAACCGACTAAAAACCTCACGCCGCCTA